CATCTTGTTGTTTTCATGATTCTCTTCCCCATTCCTCATCTTCTACTCCATAACATGGGAAGTCCTGCATGGCTACTACCAGTCTGTCAATTATCTACTCCCCGTCCCTCCCTGTATGTTATAGCAGCTGCGGGAGCAGAGGCAATTGAAAAGACAAGGGGCAGGGTGGAGTAGAAGCGGAAGAGAAAAGGAAAAGAGAATTACAACTTCCTCCTGCATATTCAAAGGTGGAGAGGGCACCCCAGGCTGCAGATGTGGCAAGCAGGTAGGCAGGCTGCTTTGGTCACAGAGCAGAAATGTTGGCTTTGCTATTTTTGAAGCAGGAAGATAAAATTGTGGGATCATGAAAGAACCCATTTTAGTCGCATGTAGCATATGTGTGAAGCCTGCAATAGGAAGAGAAAACAGCATGGCAGTTTTAGTTGTGAAATCTCACTTCAAATGCTGCCTGTGACCAAAGTATTTTGGGATAAACAGGGGCACCTCCTTGTGGGTGTCCAACCTCAGCAGGAAAGCCAGGATCTCCTCCAGAAACTGACACTGTTATTCTCTCTGTGTGATTCCCATGCACTTGCCTATCCAGCTACCTGTGAGGGGTGAAAAATTCAGCCTCACCATGTTTTTTCTTCTTTTTCTTCTGAGTCAGCTGCCAGGAAATAAATGAGGCTGAACTTAAAAAAGCAAAAGGGAAAAGCAACACACCTTGAGTAAATAAACAGCTTTTGTCCTGTCCCGCGCACCTGGCCTGTATAAAACCCACAAGAGTTTTCCACCCACAGGGCAGCAAAGCCCTGTGGGCTCCATTCCCACACCTGGGCACCCAGTGTTGGAGTTGACTACCGAGCTTCTGTGCCACAATACCTGAACAGTTACTCATTACAATAGCTGGGAGTGCCTAGCTTCATTGCATCCTTAACTGATAAGTAGATTCAGTAAGAAGCACATCAGTAAGAAATACATAGCAGGTGTTGTGCTGCTCTTCATCTTCTACTGTTCTCTCTCTATATATACATAAATACAGATATACAACATGTCTGCGCACACATATAAACACATGGTTTTTGTGCTGATGGAAATGGATGGAAACCACTAAATAGGCATTGTTGAATAATAGAAAAAGTGTTTAACATGAAATGTTGGTATCTTTGTAGCAGCAGTGTTCCATTTTTTTTAATGGGAAAATGGAATTCATCAGTGTCAAAGGTGTTCTTAAGAAAATGTCCTGATTGTTTTTTAATGTGAATTTTCAATAGGGGAGATTAAAACATGTCACGTTGAAGTGACATTTTGAAGTGCAAAAAAATGTTATTTTGACTTGTGCAAACATGTCACTCCCTCAATAATATCGACTTACTCATTTCACTGTTTCAAATATATTGCTCATTTTGACGGTTTTGCTCCAATCTGATATTGAAAATCCAGTATTGAAAGGACTTTGCAGTAGCCAGTCCTCCCAAGAGCAGGACTTACTGCCTCCTCACCAGCTCCAAATATATTTACCTTGAAGAACAATTTCCTCTTAGGTCCATACGCACTATTTTTCCTTAGCTATTCAAATCTTCCTCTTCCTCTTCTTTTGGTCAATTTGATAATAATGTGACGAGTGCTGTGAATGGGCTGCCCCTTCTTGACCACATTTGGCTTTAACCCAACCCCTTTTGCTGTAAGCCCTCCTTTTCCCTGAAGGAATGCAGACTTTGTCTTAAAAAGTTCCCCTCCCAGCTTATACATGCAAAATATGTGCTGTGCTACTTGATATGTTGTTATTATTATATTACATTAATATTTCCACCTTTCTTCCTCTTACAAGCAACCCAGGGTAGCTTACAAGGATCTCCTTCTCTTCATTTTATACTCAACAATGCTGTGTGGTCCATTTGACTGAGAGCCTCTGGTCCCAAGCCACCCAGTGAGCTTCAGGGTTGAACAGGGACTAGAACCCATATCTCTCAAGTCCCAGTCCAACCCTTGAACTGCTATGCCACAGTGGCTCACAACCCTGCTATGCCATACTGTTGAATATCTTCTCAAGAACTCTGTCTGCCCCCCAGCTAATAGGAGCTCATGTGTGCCACATCACAGTCCCTCCAGGTTGGAGTTTCATTTGCAATGCATTTTCATTAATTTCCAGAAATGCATACTACACTGTGTTGGGACGGGGTGTGTTTGTGCAGTGGGAAAAATGCTGTTTTCCAAACATTGAAGCCTTGCATTTTTGTTGTTTAAATTATCCTGGAAGAGGGCTAGAAAAGATAGGATAAACAGCATGGAGTGCTCAGATGCTCTGCTACTCACTAGAATGAGTTAGGGGAGAAAGATGATGCATTTCAGATGGACTAGAGGTAGATGTTGCCATTTGAGTGACTCTTAGGAAAAGGAGGCATCTAATTTGAAAATGCTCACTCAGCAAGTCAGGATCTTGTTTTCCACCAGCCTGCGCGGGCTGTGAGACCTGCTGTGTTGCCTGTATCCTCACCGGGATGGAACCTCAGAGCTGGGCACCCATCAGCAATGCTTGTCATTTGGAGGGGATGCTGCTAACTTGGCACAGGGAACACCACATTAATCTATGCCCTTATGTGCAGCTATGTCTGCCATCTCATTAAGCTCAGATGGCAACGCACAACATGAGGTCAGCTCAACAGCTAAAAGTCAGGGATCAGCAATCTGGATGTTTGCTTTTGAATTCTAATATCCCCATGGATTGGATTTCTCTGGAACAAGGAGAGGAGAGATTGGGTGCCAGATGCAACCAGCCTGTAGTCTTTCATACTGACTCGACTCAGGGCTTCCATATGAAGCTAAAGCTCCCTAAACTTCAGGGGGGGAAAAGAAGGGCTTTTTGCAGTAGACTGGATTTTTGGTACTTGAGTTTCTACAGCATGTGTGTTAAATATGTTGCCTTCAAGATGTTGCTAGACTGCAATTCCCATCAGCCCTGGCCAGGGCATTGCTAAGCACTTAAAGGATTTAGGGCCCTGTCCAATAGGATACATATCTGCATGAAAAGTGCATGGGTTATTTTTGATCTATATGCAAATTTAGGAATAAATACTAGGATTTAGTTAAATTTCACAGAAGGCAAAGCCAGCCAGTTAGTTTCACGTCCATCTAAGATCATCCCAATGTAGTAATTCCTCTTTGATTGCAATTAATTGACAATCCCTGCTGTGTGTCCTGACATCATTTTCCCCCTCTTCAACTTCTGTCTCTTTCTCTTTTGTAGGAAAACAGTATCTACCCCATACAAGTAAACTTGACATTTTCCATCGGTACCAATGGACACTAAGGGTCTAGGAAATACACCCAGTGTCCTGCCTTCATGGGTGGAGGCCTAGCAACACCCCTGACCTTAGCCAGCAAAGTCAGTGCTGAGACATGATAGGAGCTGCTCTGCAACAGCACCTGGGAAGCCACAAGTTCACCATTGTGGCTCACTAGTATTAGCATAGGACAAGTGTTGGAAGTTAGACACATCTGTAGCCAAGCAAGGATACAGTAGTACGAAATGGAATTCACCGTCATCCTGGAGCAACATGCCCATTCCTCGTGTATATATATTAGGGGTATAAGGTAAATAAATATACAGGCATTACAGGAGTATAATCACCTTGGTCCAAAACTTGGGATGCATGTTGGATTTATTGTGTCTCTCCAAATACCTGCTCTGTTTCCCACTGAAATTGAGCCCAGTTTGGCCATGATCATTCATCCCCTTGATCCACCAAAATTTAGGGCAAATTGGCTTTCTGTACAGCATTACATCAAAGTCTTGTTTCTCTGTGGCATAAATCCATGTCATGTTTTCTTGTGCTGATTTTTGAAAGACACACACCTTTAATGCTGTGGAAGGTTGCATTCCATCAGCAGTTTTTGGTCAGGGGCTGCATGCCAGAGACAGGCAGGAGCAGAATTGAAAGAGGGCAAGGCTGCCCCTTCTGTCTCTTTCTGACACCCCTTCTCTCTCCCTCTGCTCTCTCTTCCTCCTCATATTTAGATTGCTAGGAAAGGAATGTCTTGCTCTTGATTTATATTCATTTTATTTATTTGCTTCATTTTTATACCACCCAATAGCCAAAAGGCTCTCTTGGTGGTTAACAAAGTTAAAAAACAACATATAAACAACAAAAAGCACCATATTACAATAAAATAGTGGAACAACAAAACAACAGTAGCAGTCATAAACCCATAATAAACCCATAATAAACCCACAACAGCTGGGTTCTTGGCAGAAGAACCATGTCATTCCTGCCAGAATTGTGAACTCGTTGCTTGTAGAGGGCTTCTGAAGTTGCAAGGGATGCCTTTGGGCCTTGGGCCACAGTTGCCCACCCATGGGTTGGACAAAGGTGTTCAAGCAAGATGGCTTCTTGGTTTCTTCTCCACCTCTTGAGCTTTCCAGAATAGAATGCTGAATATAATGGTTGAAAATTTTGCTCTGTAGAATGAATGCTTGTGTATCCTCACTGTGTTTATTGAAGGTAGGTTATGCTGTGCATGTTTGCCCCACAGCAAGGCAGGGTGAATGCCTTCACCTAGTGTAGCTGGATCAAGTTTTCAAAAGTAGGAGTGCCCTGGAGCTGACTTGTATGTTCTGGGGAATGCCAGGAGGCTGGAGCCTTTTGAAAGAAGGGATATTTCTCTCTGGGATTCTCTTTCCTGTACCAAGATGTCTTAACAGAGCAAATGCAGCAGAACTCGAAGCAATAATAAATGTGAATGTCGAGCTACACCATCAGGAAATGCTTACTACAAAGATTTCCATCCCTGTGAAGCATCTCAGGAGGGTGGAGGTTCTAAGAATGGATGGTGGTGTCCAAGTGTCCAGTTAAGTGATCATGCAGATTTGATTAGGAATCCTCTTTGCAAAGTCCCCTTTGTGTCAGACATAACCAGGAGGCATATGCATTGCAGCAGGTGTGGAAGGACATTGTATCCATAGCCAGGATAGCACATTTAATCCATTTCTTGTTCTTCTCTTTTTACCTTTGCCAATGCAGAATAATTAGTAACCATGACGACAGAGACGGGCCCAGATTCAGAGGTGAAGAATGCCCAAGAGGAAACTCCGCAGCAACAGCTGGAGGCAGCGGCTGGGGGGCCGAACGCAGTGTCCGGCAGCTCCATGCCCACTGCAAACAACCAAGAAGCTGAGGCTAATGAGAAGCCAGGAGCCCCTGGTGAATCCAAACATACAGAACGGGTGAGTCGAGTAGGCTGCTGAGAATTTTACTACCGATGAGCCCAAGAAGGTGTTTTTGGTGCTGGGTCTCAGTCCCTGGACTGTGAAGTAGTATAAAAGAGAGTTCTTTGAGAGTGAGGTATCATTTATTGATCTGTCTGCGTCCACTGCAATTGCAGCTTTGGCTGGGCATAACCAAACTGATTGCTTGCATGCCAATTATTACATTTGGAGGCCACTATGGATAGCTTTTCTGCACTCAGTTACAACTGTAACATGTCAGAGTATTATAGCTGAATGCTAAAAGCTGATTGGCGCTTAAATTTGGTGTGCAGCAGGCGGCAGGTTTATATGCTGACTTAGCAGCATCAGATATGGAGATATCAAAAAGACATTCCATGAACTAAAGAAAGGGCCCTGAGTTTCTTTCATGGCTGAATGACAGTGGCCAACTCCATAACACATTTCTGCCGCTGGTCAGAAGGTTTCCTATGCCAGAGTGAATAGGTTTTGCATGAATCCTTGCATCCCTCATTTTAAAAAGTATTTATATTCTTCCTTGCCAGTAAAATGTTCCAAGTGGATAACAGTTTAGAAAAATACAGTAAGAAACAACAAATAATAGCAAAACTAAGAAGGCAGAGAACATTACAAAACACTTAAAAAACCTAACTTGTTGCCTGTTATAATGCCAGGAAGAATAAAATAGCCCATTAAAAGACATAACTATAGTCTGTTGTTTTTCAAGATTCTGTCTGTTGTTTTTAAGGATTTAAGCCTGGGAATACGGTGTGTGTGCAGTGTGTCTTGCTTCCATCTTAAAGGATATTAAGAATTTGGTTTGAAGATTCCTTTTATGGATACCCTTATCAATAATATTGCTGCCTCCTGCATGTTTGCTTCCATGGAGGCTGAACTCAGTGCAACACCTTCTCTCCAAGTGGTTCCTCTTCCAGTGTGTTTAGTTCACCATGTTAGCAAGAAACATCCTAAAAGGAACTTTTGTTCATGTAAGTGGGTGCTAGTGGGAAACCAGGAAGAACCCAAACATCTGAACTGGGATTTGCGGTGTCAAGAATTCCATTTCCAAGGCTTAACATGAGCCAGATACATCAGGGCTCAACCTTGGAATGTGTTTCCAGTGTTCAAAACCCATCCTTGGAGCTGTACAGTAACAATAAGGAAGATGCCTCCTGGGAGATTGTGCACAATAAAGCCTCATTTATTCTGTGGTTTTAGGTTATGCGAACTGTAGCATTGATCTTTCAGAGCCAAGCTACAGAACATCTATAAAGATGGTGGCAGCAACTCTGCCAGCTGACATCTGTGTAAACGAAGTCGCTCAGTGTAATTCTTATTTAAGAGAACGCCACTTACTTTCCTTTCATATCCTTCCTCTCTGCAACATATGGACACAAACGCACATCTTTCTTTTCTCCTGGAAAAGTGATTTATCACCCTAGCAATCATTAGCACTGGTCAAGAGTGAAGCTGTGAGGCAAAGGCACCAAGATGATATTTTCCCACAATGCACATCATCAGCCAGCAGCTTTCATCTCCTCACCTTTCAGAAACAGCAGATTTCTATGGCCTTTGAGCCTCTGAGAGTTAACTGAATGTTGGTGGGGCTTTTGCCACTAGGTTTAGATATCTTTCAACCTTTTTCCTCAGCTTACAGATTGCAGGAAAACTGGAATTGTGAGACAGCAAACAGTATGATCCAGAGTTCATCTCTTAGTTGTTTGTAGTTCTGATGTACCTTGGAATACCTTTCTGAGCTATAGTGGAGATGAATGCTGTAGCTTCTATTCTCTACGAAAACCAGGCCCTCTGTGGAAAAGAAGTTGGGCTTCTCAACTTACAGCTTCCCCAAGGCAGCCGTGTGTGTGTGTTTTGGTGAGAGGAAGTGCGCAGTCTTTACACAAAGCAGCTTCTTGGGCCTTTCCTTCTTTGCCTTTTTGTATGTTCCATAATGCAACCACAAGGTGGTGCTGTGGAGTAGAGCAGAATTGCAAATATACACAGGGTTTTTCCCAGTGAATATCATGACAGCATCCCAGATAATATTGTGCTATACTCTTGCTAAGAAAGGCTGCAAAACATGGCTGCAAAACATGGGAGAGCCTTTGGCAGATGATGACACTGCATAAAAGACCTGCAAACTTCAACGAGTAAGGGATCATGACTACACAATAAATGTGTTGTTTCAACAAGCCAAATTTGGTCTCCCAGATAAATCTCCAAACCAGGATTATTAGCATCGGGGGCACTCATGTCATGAGAAGGTTAGAGTTTGTTTTCCATTTCACATGGCTGAGCAGCCTGCAGCACTGTCTTATCCCTGCTTAGAAAGACACATGAGACTGTGTGGAAGTCTCATAGTGACAGCAAATCAATATGGAGCTTTTTCTACGAAGGTTATATTTTTGACCCTGCCCATCTGTCAGACAGAAATTATTTTTTTCTTAAACATCATGTGCATATAGGATCTTTATTTCTCTACTAAATGCAGTGATGTGGCAATTACATAACCGTCAGACATTCTTCCAACCCCAAAACCCATTTCCTTCCCTTTATCTTTTAAGAAGTTCCTTTAGTGGAAGGAATGCCCTTGCAACTCATTCAGAATGCCAAGTTTGGAGAGAAATGGGCAAACAGCAGAGTTAATGAGTGTGTTAAAGTGGCCAGGGCAGTCATATACATGTCATGGCCAGGTCAACAGATGCAGGGTTCTTTTCTGAAGCAGTGAAAAATGATGCTTGGCATGTGAGTAGCTAGTAAGAGGGGCAAAGGAAAAGACAAAAACAACAGGGTGATATAATTCCACTTCCCACCCTGCAAAACAGCAAATGCATAAAAAGCTGTGTGGACTGAGTTTGTTGTTGTTATATGCCATCAGATCTTATGACATGGTGGGCATGTTGTGAGCAGAGCCAGCTGGAGCCGGGGGTCAGACTAGTTGGCCCGGGAGACCCCTTCTGACTCGCTCTGTTTCTATGACCCTATGAATGAATGAATGCCCTCCAATCAATCCAGCTCATATTTGGCCTTCCTCTTCTTCTGCATTCACCTTTCCAAGGCATTATTGTCTTCTCCAGTGGAGACTTGCCTTCTTGTGATGTGCCTTCAGTTTTGTCATTTTTGCTTCCAGGGAAAGTTCCAGCTTGATTTGATCTAGGAGTGGACTGGATGGGGTGGGAGGTGCTAAATATTCTTTGGTACCTCTCAGATGTCATTTGCCAAACGCCAGCTCCATCTGATATGCATGGGAATGATCTGGACTGATTCTAAACCATCTGGAGAGCACTTCCTGTTTAGTAAGCTACATAGCAGCTAGTGGGTAGGTGGGAGAAAAGTACTTATAGCTTCTTAATGTTGTTCAGGGCTAATTGGAAAGGATGGCCAATATACCAGTCAAAGTGAAAGTCCATGTACTGCTCAAACTAAGTTCTTGCACTGGGGAGGGGCAGGTGGGAGCCAAATCAAGAAAGAGTCCACCAGCCCAGATCAAAGAAGTGGAAGGATAACAGCACAGTATGAAGAGCTGCCTGCTGTTTCCTTGTTTCTGTCCATTGGGAAACCAGAACATGCCACAAAGGCAGAGCAAGCAGCATTGCACGATTCTGTCTCCCTCTCTGTTTCAGCCATGTCAGCACCACTGTGAGTGTAGCTGTTAGCCTGGGTTGCATCCCTGTCTTTGAAAAACATTAGGGCACCCCAGAGTGCTGTTCTTCACTGCAGAAGGACCTGGCGCTCTCATTTCCCAATGGGAGACCTACCTGCAGAGGAGAAAGAGGTGTGAGAATTGTCTGGCCTGCATCACTCCTGACTGGTTGTGAATGCAAGGTGCTGCATGGGGTGCGATGCACATTGTGGCCACATGCCGCCCCCTGGCCTGTGGTGTCGTAGCCACACGACTGAAATTTGGCACTGCCACAGCAAAGAGATTGATTGTAAACTGTTCCATGAGCTTAAGGAGAAGCTTAATTTGGTCCTTTTTAAACCTCTGCAGCAATTTGTTGCTTACGTTCTTGTTTCTACTTCTTTTTTCCACTGCACTATCAGAGTGGGATGAGGCAATGACAGCAGGATTGCAGACCCCACGGGAGGTCCAAACATTGCCCCAAAATTGCCTCTCCTCCCTTGTGGGGCTCAGGACCAGGAGAAAATTGCACCAATTTAATAAGCTGATTTACCTGTGCCCTAAAGTCGGTGCATATGTGTATGTCTATATAGGATGCTGCCTGAAAAAGCAGGGTCTAGTTGTAAAAAAGTTATGCATGAAAATAGGAGAGGAGAACATTCCATTCTAGGAAAACCCTCAGGCAGAAAGATTCAGAGGAGGAGCAACAGACAGAAAAGCATATGTGGATTAAAAAAATGGTCCTTGCAGAGATTCAGTGCTCCAAATGGAAGATCTGGGGCTCTATCCTAAATGGGCTGTCCTCTAATAGTACTTTTGTGTCCCAACTCTTCCATCAAAAAAGTTGGAAGAAAAGGATGATGTCCAGATATGACACAAAGAAGTACCTCACAGTTTGGCACAGGAAAGAGGGTGAGGGGCCAAGAAAACCCAGAATGAGATGATGTGTGTACCACCAGATCACTGTCTCTTGCTCAGGGTAAGGGTTTCAACAGTCCCAGGACCTCTTAAAGTCCTAATTCTGGATCTTTAGAAATAAGCTAGGAGTCTGCCTGGGGGCATTAATTACTCATGTGTCAGAAGATCAAGACTGTCATCTCAGGGAGAGGATCTCCTGTGATGTAGAGTTGTTATTGGTCCATGTATTCATTGATTCAGAAGGGCTATTTTTGGCAGAAGCATCAAATGAGACTTTGGTTTGGTGAAAGTTGTATTTGTATTATGGAGGATGGTGAACACAGCTCAGCAAGAAGGACATAGCAACCTGTGTGTCACTTATCTCTCCAGGTAATTCTCCCAAAGGGGTGATCTTGCACCCGCCCCAGGCCAAGCCCCTTTTCCCAGTGAGACCCTTCTGTGTCAGGCATGCCTCTTTTAACGTGATGGGTTAGAATTAACTCAGGACCAGCTCTGATCTTGCATGTTGGATTGATATCTGGAATACTGCTAGGGGGAAAGGCTTTGCCTTCCTAGCTACTGAAGTGTTGTCTCTAGTAGAGGTTTGCTTTTCCACCAAAAGGCATCACAGCGATTATTTTGGGCGAGTGCCAGGCCATTGACATTTTACAGTGTTCTGTTGCTGAATCTTAACAAGAACAAATTTGCCCCTAGGAGATTATTGCGCCCAGTCAGGGCATCTCTTTTGCTTTCTGGTTGGCTTTTCTTTCTTTCACTCTCTCACACTGAGGAAGCATTCAGATAAAATGCTGCCGGGCAGCAGCATAAAACCACAACCAGACAGAAGTGAGACCACAGCTGTGCATATTCAGTACTTGGGTAGAAGGGAATCAACATGTTGTCTAAAGAAAGCTAAATAATGTGACTGATACACGTGTGGCAAATCTTTACATTTACATATATTGTTTTGCCACTGCTTCCCCCCATTCCCTCCACAAGCCATTCTCTTTCGCTAGCCCTGCTGTACAGAACACTGGAGCCCTCTGCCCCTGAATACTGGAAAGTCCCCATAGATCTCCATAGCTCAGTTCCTGGCATTCATAGTAAGATTGATGTATAGAACATCTTCCAGTCTAAGCACTGTAGCAATTAAAGACAAGGGCCATCCTTGCCCACAGCCTTGCAGTCAGAAAAACCAGAGGAAAAAATAACAGAGATGGAAGGATGCTCAGAAGACTAGTCACTGCACAACTGTCTGGTTGAGGAATCGTCTATAAGTCACATCCAGGCATAGCAAAAAATATTTGTTTTAGGGGACTGGGTGCACTGTTTCTTTGTACTCTGTTTGCCAAGCAGCTTGTATGCTGGGCTATTCAGGACTGATGAGCCTGTGGGTTCACATGGCGTATAGGACCCAGCATGGATGACTTGAAAGCAGAGACGTCTCACAGATCTTGCAGTGCTGATTTCTCTCGTAATAGGTCTTGTGGTATCTTAGAAAGTGGAAGAAGGGAGACAGGATTGCTGTGTGTTCTTGCAATTCCAATTACACACTCGATTGTGCCCTGCAATGCTAGGCATGTTCCTAACCCAGCCTTTTCCACTGTGGTGCCTTCCAGATATACCAGACTACAGCTACCATCTTGGCCCCAGCTGGAAATGATGGGAGTTGCGTTCCAGCACATCTGGAAGGTGCCAGCCTGCACAAGCCCTAATGTCATGAGCAAATGTGCTGTTTCCCCAGCAGAATGTGGGTGCCCAACCATAGCAGAATGTGGGTGCCCAGGACAGCCCTCCGTGTGTGGTTAATAACAATGGGGAATGACATCTCCTTTTCCTTCTAGGCTGTGGATATGGATGAAAAGGACTACAGTGAAGCAGACGGGATATCTGAGAGAACTACCCCCAGTAAGACCCAGAAATCCCCTCAGAAAGTCACGAAGAAGCTCAAGAGTGCCATCTGCAGGGTGATGTTGCTTGATGGCTCCGAGTATGAATGTGAAGTGGAGGTGAGCAAGCAGACTCTGTTTGCTGACCTTTCAAACGTATGGACATGTTTATGTAGATTGTACACTGCACCATACCATAGGCCCCATGCACCCTTTTCTAGGAAGAATGCCCACTAAATTGCCTATATACAAACAACAGCTGTGATCAATGTATAAAATCGATTAATGTTTTCAGTTCTGTCAAAGTGTGTGTGTGTGTGCGCTTAATTCTCCATAGGGATGCACATGGAAAGCAGGTGTGAGTGACTCATGCATTGCTGAGTGTGGGCTGCTTGCTATTTGTGTGTTAGGGTAAAGATGAAGTGTAGGCTTTGCATGTGCATGTGTACACTTGTATAACTGACTGGGATCCCTCAAGGAGCAGAATATTATTAATAGCATGCAAGCAAGAAAATCAGGCTATTATAAAAGCTTGCAAAGCCTCATTTGTGTGACTACCTGTCCCTTCATTTCTGTGGATATTTCTGTTTTGCTAGAGGATAGAAAGATATCACTCACATCTCTAGGGAAATGGGTAATAGTGCACCCTATCAACATGATGGAGAGCAATTCATGCTTTACTTGGATGGGGAAGAAAAGGGGAGAGAGCTATTGAAAATACTTAATGGAAGAGAAAACACACTTGTCTTCTGCCGAGCATGAATACAAGAGAGTCTACAGCAGAAAGTCAGTCCCCATTTCTTTTTTCTTATAAAAGGGCTTTTCTTCCTGAGACTTTAACCTGGGACTTTACCAAGACTTCTGCTTCCAGATTCTATGCAGGGTTAAGATTGACGCCATACATCATTTTCCCCATGGATTTTCTCTCTCTCTTTTTCTAATACGTTCCATTAGAAAACCACCAGTTGGCACAACTGTGTTAATATATAAGCATTTCATAGCGCCATTTCTAATTAATACCACATTTTCCTCAATCTAGGGAAAAAACCTATGGAAATGGTTGCAAAGTAAAGGTGACACAATCATATGGAAGTACTTGAACACTGCCTTGAGCACACAAGAAATGCCTTGCATAGAAAAGTTCAAAGTCAGATCACAATTCAGCAGTTCTGTTTAAAACACAACACATTTTATTACTGGATAAATCTGTTACAGAATATCTAGGCTCTTTGTATTTCTGTTCTGCTACAAGGACCACTCTAGTTCCTCCACCACCATTGGCAAGCCAACACAGTAAAAATAAACAGTATGGGCATTTAGCCCTTAAGAGAGCAGAAGTACCCAGTATGCTTTAATGGATACGAAGAAATGTAACATGTTCCCTTTGTTCGGCAACAGCACTAGTAGGTTATGTTTGTCCCAGAATTGCTGCTGTCCAATCATGTACAGTAGGTATATGGTGTCATGTGCGGCTCGGAGGTGTCCTGGCAAAATGAAGGTGACAGGCAGCCTCCCTTCTTGCTGCTTTTGCAGCATGCTGAGCCACTTGATTTTACTTCAAAGTCACCTGGAAGGGTAGGAGTCCTTGCAGGAAATTCACTGGGGAAGGCAGCTCTACTGTATGAGAGGACACACTGGGAGAGAGCTCATTTTACTAGTTGACTGCATTTGATCCATGCTAAAAAAGCATCTGCCATATGGTGTTGTACCAGTATGTCTCAAACTGGTGCAGGATGGGGGAGAAGAAGAGTCAGATGTGTTGCAAAGAGTTTTAGGATACAATCCTATGCATTTTTGGGCAGAAAAAAAGTCCTACAACTCCCAGCTGCCTTGGCAAATGCTGGAAGTTGTAGGACTTTTTCCATTTAAACATGCATGGGATTGGAGTCTTACATTCTCACTGGTAATAGAAAGAGAAGTGGGTTGTGGGAGGCTGGGAAGAAGCAACATGAAAGATGCAGAACCATCTTGTGAACTGTCCAGAGAACCCTGGTTAATGGCTAATATGGAAAAGGGATAAATACAATAATTCTGTGCCAAGCAAATATATACAGTGTAGTTTCAAATCCAAGCATTAAAGGAACACAGAATGTTCACTGGGTGTGCAATTGCATATATACATTTTTATAGAAAGATTGCATTGAGTACCCTCTAATAATACTTTTTATCTGGCTGACACAGATAAAAGAGTGATGGCATTCATTATGGACATGCACTGATAATATTTTTCTTTGCAAAATTCACAGAAGCATATTTTTCCAAGAGAAATTATCCAGAAAGACTGGTCTTGCTTCTCTAGTTGGTTTATACTCAGACATGTACAGAAAAAAAACATAGAAATGAACAGAAATGGGTTCTGAGACTGGCATGGTGGGGTATCTTTTTCCTTCCAAGGCATGTGCAGTGTCACAAAGGCCTGTAGGGGTATTAGCAGCAGAGTGAAGTGGGAGAAGGAGTGGAGCAGAGGATGCCAGAACAGAGCTGGCCAGCTTCCTCTGGAAGTCAAGTAACGCTGTTGGAAGACCTCAACTCAGGCCGCTTCCGTCTCAAGTATTGCTGGAGAAGTAGTTCTCTCATGACTGCTTTGCTCCTTCATGTGTCTTGTTGCCAAATATGCAAAATGCTCCCTCCCTGCTCTGCTAGCTTCAGTGTAATGAATTTTGTGATATCCAAGCATTGCGTTCCGCTTAGAGCTATGGTAGTTATACACTTGCCTACCGGTTAAGGCAGCAGTTTTTGCAGGGCTAATTCAATGAGGGAAGCATGGAAGAAAAGCAGCAAATTAAGTGTAAGAATTGCATGTTGCCTTTTCAAGACAATACTAATGAGAGGGCGGGGGGGGGACATAAAACAGAACTGGTGTATATGCATATATAGAGGCATATATAGAGAAAGAGGGTGGCACATGGGTGTGCACATTTGAATATGCACTATGAGAGAGAAAGTGCGCACCCTAGCAGGCTATGCTGAATCATTTGCTTGTATAGGGTGTCTGAGCATGTGGACTGGTTGATTTGCTCCACATTAGAAAAATCTGGTCTCTGTGTGTGATCTGTATGGGGAGCCCTTGCACGCACAAACAGGTCCCCCTTGATGGTGACTGCCACGTGGCCCTATTCAAAGCAGTCCTGAACTGCACAGGCAAAGTGTGCAAGGCCCCTTGAACAAAGGGAGACTAGCTAAATCAGTAAGAAAGTTGAGACCTTTCCAGATGTTGTGGGAGGGAGGGAGGCGTGAAAACCACAGATTTTATTTTTAGCTTCGGAAGCTCTAGCATCAATGTAGTGCGATTGGCATGAGATGTATTTTATTTATTTATTATATTTCTGCTTCACCCAATAACTGAAATTCTCTGGTCTCGTGTAATGCATGGAATGACAATGTTGCAGCAGGGAGTTGCCTGCTTTGTTTCCTTATAGAATGATGGCATCTGGGATCACTAATAGAAGGCTCGCCTGCCTGAACATAAATAAGCCAAGCAGCTGAGCTTTGTGCATCAACTCTTGATCGGTATTTGCATTTACTGTAGAGTTTAGTGCCTATTTTTACTTCTAGGCCCAATGCAACGGAGTTGTCTGCACAGTCAGAGGGGAAATAAGCCATGGTGATGTTTTTCCTTTTCCCAGACATGCTGGTTGCTTGCCAGGGGGATTTGCATAATTACCCTAGCAATACAGTTTACCGTGTTATGTAAACCTGGCCAAGGTGGCTTGTTGCATGATGTGACAAGCCACACTTCTCAAGGTAATTCTGCAAATATCTCCAGGATGCAACTTAGCTTATTTCCCTTCTTTGAACATGCAAACCTGACCAAAGTGTTAGCTATAACCTTTAATTCCCTGGAAGGGTTGGGTTCTGCACATGCTAGAGAGCCTTTCTCCCTGTGTCAGTTTGAAAGCCCACTGAGACCTCATGTACAGCCCCTGCTTTCATGTTCCTTGTACTAGACAGGGACACATGGGGACATACAGCAGGGCCTTTTCAGGAGTGGTCCTTGCATTGCCAAACTTCCTCCCAGAAAGGTTGACCAAACTCCATTGTTTAACACACATCCGTAATAAATATTCTTGTTGAAAGAGGCCACTGTTGACTGTGACAACCCTTTTTTACTGTTTTATGGGGCATGATCTGTCAACTGCTTTACGGATATTTGTTTTAATACACATTGGAAGCTGCTTTGAATAAGAATGACCAAACTAAATAGAGTGAAATGAAGGACTCAGAAAAGGTGAAAAGGATCAGAGCCAGTCTCTGGCTTTGATCTCTGCACTCCAGCAGCCAGGCTCTTTAGCTGACATCTCTAACAGTGAGAATCTGACTGCAGGGGGGTGGACTGTTACAGAGATGAAAGTTCTCTTAAGCAGTGGGGGTGGGGGGTAGGATAGAGTAGATTATTAAAGAACTTTCAAAGCAGAAGAGGTGTTTTTCAGAGGCCTGAAAGGGCTTGTGGAATTAGTTGTCCTTTTTGGGAGACTCCATTAATATGAGACTCCAGTATTCTTCACTCCCTTGACGAATACACACACCGATCCATGTCACTCTGCTACTTTTAATTTACCAACTTTTTCCCAACCTGGTGCGTGCTAGATGCATGGGACTGCAATCCCTATTATTCTGCCGCTGACACTGCCAGTTATCATGCCGGGTAGGGGAGGTGGGAGTTGTAGTCCAGCATATATGGAGGTTGCCTGGCAGAGGAAGCAGGTTTAGATGCCACACACTGAAATGAGGATCCCTGCCAAAATGGCCAGTCTGTCTACATTAGGCCAGTAGGGGGTGGCTGGTGGGCAGGGAAGAGTTGACAATGAACTCTTTGGGAGAAGGGGGCGTAGAGAGTTACAGTGAGGAGGAGGAGAGGTTAGAATGATTTATGGAAAGCTTTGTTGAAGAACAGGATGCTCAAGAGGCAGAGGTAAGCCTCAGAAATGTGTTGGGGTGAGTGGGTATTCCAAATACAAGTCATGGCAAGAAAGGAAAAATGAACTGAAATGGAGCAAAGGCAAGTGCCAGTGGACATTATTTGAGTAGGGGTTAACTGTTGCACAGCTTTGAAACTAAGAATGAGAACAGAGTTGGACAACTTCAAGCTTCTGGGGGGCTTTTTTGCTTCCCCCTGAACCTCTCACCCACAGGGCCTGTAGATCTGAAATAATAATATTTAAACAATTTATTTTTTAAAATGGCATCTATAGCTGCTGTGAAGCACCAGAAATTTAGCCTGCTTGCATCCTAAATTTTGGCCTTCTTGGAAACAAGCCAAAATTGATCTTTTTAGTGCTGCAAATGCTATTCCTTTCCCGATAAATTAAAACCTTTTTTGAATTTTGAGGAGCCACATGCAGTTGCAGTTACCTGTTTCCCACCCTTTGACTAGAATCTTGAGATAGATTCGAGTATGGCAACTGAAGGGAAAGGATGATGTGATCATACTGTAGCAGTGAGAGAGAAAGATGAGTTTAGCCAAGGCTTTCTGATCTGAGACCAAATAGATGTGTCATATCTGGTAGTTTCTCAATCAAACCCCTTCCTTCTGCAGCCAGTTTAAAAAAGCAGGATTTTATTATCTGGTACCAAACACATTATCTGTGCTTTTCTTGTTTCCAGTTGTTTATTTTTACAGTGCAGATTGTCACTCAGGAAAGTTGATCTCCTGAACCTGGTTTTGATTAAAGAAAAGAAAAGAAGACCCATGTTAAATGTCTAAATTGAATCAATGCTTTTAGCTGTGCAGGTTAATGAGGAGTCTCTGCATATAAGGCAATTCTTTTGTTGGAAATGTTAATGGCTTTATCTAAAAAGGCTAGTTTTACAGAATACAAGCATTTTTCCCCATTGTAAGAATCTATGTGCTGGCCTGTCACAATATAAGATCAGGCTGTGAAGCTCTTTTAGCACTCATAATTTTTATAACCATGGTTATGTGGCCTGCATCAAGCAGGACATAGGACTAGATTGGTGTGTAAGATCTTCTCCGTCTCTGTGATTATGTGATATTCTGAGAAATTCAGGATAACAACAAATGATTGTGTTTGATAGCATTATCAAGCAAAGGGGCCCCAGTTTTGTCTCTGTCATACACAGCAGCCTTTGGAAGACGGTAATGTATTCCAGATGGGCTCTTGGGTTTTATACTCTTTGTGTCTTCTGCAGAAACATGCCCGGGGTCAAGTGCTCTTTGACCTGGTCTGCGAACACCTTAATCTCTTGGAGAAGGACTATTTTGGACTCACATTCTGTGACTCTGACAGTCAAAAGGTATGTTTGCATGGTCCAGGCAGAGCCCTGTGGTGTGCTTACTCGAGATGCTGTAATCCAACAGGTTCTCCTCTTATGTGCTGTCTTACCATTTCAGAACTGGCTGGATCCCTCCAAAGAAATAAAGAAGCAGATTCGCAGTGAGTAGCTGAAAGCATGAATATTCAAAACCTTATTATATCTTTTCTGACAGGCCTCTGCAGTAACCTCGTTACATATATGTATATGGGAACTGGGGAAGGTCTGTAAGATACTATTTGTAAACAACTCAGCTGTTACACTGAAAAAATTTCCTCAGGAGATGCAAGGTGCTTCCAAATGAGTTTTTTAGCATATAATTTTACTACTCTATTCATGCCATTTTATGAGGAGCCAAGATGACAATGTTTGCCTCTTGTGAACCTCTGATGTTTCCCACTGCTTTCTTTCTTCTCTCCTTTCTACAAATATCAGTTGGGGAGGAAAAACAGATTATCTGCACAACAGGCTAGTTTACACATAGCCATTGCAAATGGTGTGTTAATTAATTAACCCATAATTGTCGTGGTGCATGCAGGATGCATTCCACATCTAGTTTGCATATACAACATCTGATTGCAGGTTGTTATGTGATATCAGACACTGGACTCTATAGGTTAATCATGGGTTTTTAACTTATATTGCAATCTTAACTATTTAAATTTTTATACTGCATTTTATATTGTATATTGTATTTTATACTGTATACTGTTTTATCTGTAACTTATGCTTCAATTTTGTGTGAAGTACCCAGAGAGCTTCAGCTATTCGGTGGTATTAAAATGTAACAAACAGATGAATAAGTGAGTTAAACAATCCCCAATTAACCTAACTACTATTTAGATGTGTTCATACATCATTCTAACCCACCCTGGAAATAAGCCAAGGTGGGTTGGTGGTTCTGTGGATAATTCGTGATGCACCTAAGAGCCAGTCAGGCTGATGCTGGTTGTTCAGTCCCTTTTCCTCTCCTCGTTCTCCTGTAGGTATCCCAGGTAACACTGCAGAAGGACTGACTTGTCTCCCTGCTGTGATTGTATACCAGTTTCAGTTCACTGCAACTTTTGTCCCCATTACATTTTTTCCCTACCTGTGAAGGCCTAAAAGTGCATTCTACTTCTTTTCTGGAGGAAAAAGGAATTTTGACAATTTGGTTTTCACATACACAGCCAAATGTTCCAGTCAACCACATTGCTCTGTCAAAAGCTCTTCAAAGGTGCTTCAGAGAGATTTGCCTTAGGATAGCCAGAGGCTTATTCACAACATTCCCTCCTTACATAGGATCATAGGATGCTCCCTTATACCAGGGTTAGAATCTGGCTCTCTTGCACTTGCTGGACTTCTTTCCTACACTCACCCCTGACCTGGATGTGAGCCAAGCTGACATCAAGTCTGCAAATGCTGAGGAACACTAGTGGCCTCTTTCTGAAAAGAATGAAACGTACACAATTCTTTGCACAAGCTGAGCAAAGTGCGTAATTCTTTGTACAAAGTGAGCAAAAACTACAAGTCACATGTATTGAAGCAGAGCTCTGCTTGAGCTTGCATCCTGCTGCGTACCCAAGCAAATACACATTGTGAAGCAGACCTAGGGAAAAAAGAAAGCGGGCCAGAGTCCAGGGAACCAAGCTGAGAAATCCAACGGACTCCCATCCCCAAACCAGATTTCTCACACATCCCTAACTCATACAGGCCAAATTTGCTTGATTGGAGAAGGAAAAGAAACTGTGATGACTTCTTTTCCCCATTCAGGGAATATCCTGGTTGCTTGCTGCCTCATTTCAAGGAGCAAATGAGGATGGGTGGCTTCCAAACCACCCTGGAATCCTAGAACGACCCATGGGTTGCAGGGTGGTTTGGAGGCTACTCCTATTCCCACTATCCACTGAATGAGATCATTGGTCCATCTTGCTCAGTACTGTCATCAAAACGGGGCAGCTGTAGCTCTCCAGGGTTCCCATCCTTATTTGAAAATGCTGCAGATTGAACTTGGGACCTTCTTCATGGAAAGCATGTGTTCAAGCACCGAGCTATCACCCCTGCTATAACATTCTAAACATTGCCAACTTAGGTGCCATTAGTTAATTTACTCCAGAGTAAACAGGTGTGGTCCCCATTCAATTGAAACCATAGTGCTCTGGTAGAAAAAAAAAGTAAGCTCTTCCTGTTTTCATCCTGAAATTCCACCCCATGTGGGTGTTAGAAAGAATTAAAAATGTCTCCAGTGGAATCCATGCAGGTGTGCTTTTCTTTTCCTAACTGCCCCTATTTGGGATAAAAATGGGGAGAGGGAAATTAAACACCCTCTCAGAGTGCAAGAATCCTAATCTGAGTTTGCTTGTTTGTTTGTTTGTGTTTATGACATTTCTGTATTGCCCAGTAGCCAAAGCTCTCTCCAAAACACACAAGAATTAAAAGTATAAAATAGATCATAGCATATACAATACAACTTAACACTGCAGTATAAATAGAAGAAAGAAGTTAAAAATCCCCATGCAGCGTGGGATGAATGTCACTCATCAAGGCAGATGAATTACCCACTTCAGTATCTCTGTCTTGTCTGGATGGAGTCTCATTTTATTGGCTCTCCTCCAGTCCATTATCATGCCAAGGAAGTGATTCAGAATAGGCACTGCCTCACCTGAATTTGATAGAAAGGAGAGAAAGAGTTGGCTGTCATCTGCATCTTGATGACACCTAAGCTCAAACCTCTGGATAACCCCTCTGAGAAGTTTCATACAGATATTTAATAGCATGGGGGATAGAGTGCAGCCCCATGAAACCCTATGGCATAGCTGCCAGGGCACAGAGCAATAACCCCCTAGCATCTTTTACAGTCGGCCATCCAAACAGGAACCACAGTAGTGCATTGCCTGCAACTCCATCACAGTTAACTAATCTAGGACAATACCAGTGTTGATGGCATCAAAAGCCAATGAACATTGGAAGAGTATCAACAAGATCATCTGCCTCCTGTCCATTCCCAGCAGAGATCATCTAATAGAGTGAGTAATACAGATTCCATTCCAAAACAAGGCATGGCTTCTGACTGAAATGAATCTACATCATTTGTTACAGTCAAGAATGCCTAGAGTTCCTGGCAACCACCAACACAAGCACTTAGTCCGGGAAGGGGTATTAGCTACTGACATATAGTTGTTATTGTTATCTGGGTCCAAGATAGGCTTTTTCAAGAATAGCCTGATTATTGCTTCTTTTAAGAGACCAGTGCCACACTCTCTCTCAAGGAGAATTTTATAACCTCTTGAACCCAGTCTGGTGTCCCCTGCTTATTTGATGTAATATGTCAGGAAGGACCAGGGTTAAGCAAACAGGTGGACTACTGGACTTGGCCAAGCACCCCATCTGCATCCTTGGGCTTCAACAGGTGAAACTTACCAAGCGACACTGGACCGGATGGGGCTCTGGCCAACTCTACTAATGGAACCAGGGCCACTCACTCACTCTGGAATTAGATCAACCATGCACACATCAGCTCTGCATGACTGCAAAACATTTCGTTTGACCCTAAACTCATTGGAGTTGGAGGATTTAAGTGCTTAGTATCTATTCCAGCATAGTACAAATGCGCAACCTGAAACCTCTTTGATGGATGTGCACAGCTAAAAGAAAAGAAAAGTAAAAACACAACCACAAACACACAAAACCCCAAATATTGTGTAGCCTGATTCATAGATGTCTTCCTTTCTACCCATTCCATAGATGAGGGGCTATCATCCAGGCAATATTATCAAAAGTAGAAAAGCACCTACAGAGCAAATAAATTCTGGTGATTTAGTGCACTCAAGGAGAGGTGTGTGTGTACGTGTTCCTGAGTTTTGTAACTGAGGTGAAGTAAAGCAGATGTTACACTCTGCTGTGAAGTAAGCAGAGTGCAAGGAAGCATGGTGCCTGGGTACTGGGCCTTTGGTGCTATCAACTTTCTTTCCCCTTCAGTTCTAAGAAAAGGAGCAATCCCTCTCTGGGAAGTGGCTTCTAGAATAGCAAGCTACAAGGCGGGTTTGCCATGCAGTGGTTTGCACAGATGCCGTGGGAGGTCTTTCCCGAACAGCAGGACCTCTGGGAGACATGAGCTTGTTTCCATGGCAACCGCAAGTCGTGGTCTCTCTGTGCAGCGAAGGTTGTTCTGCTGTGTCGTAGGTCTTAGCCGGCAAGCGCACCCTGCCGTCTGCCTCAGCCGTGAGCATCCAGTCGAGCAGAGATCCCTGCTGATTTTGAGGCATTTGTCTTCTTTGGAGACATTGATAGTTTCCTTAGAGACCTGGGATGGGCCAGGGAGGGAATGTGAGGCAGTTCAAATCATGGAAACAGCAACAATTAGAGATGTCGGTTGCTTGCTTGGGAGGGGCCACAGACAGATGCTGTAGCCAAGTGTGTCTAGTCCATCGTATTTTCCTGTCCTCCAATATCTTCTTTACCCAGGTGGGCCCTGGAACTTTGCTTTCACTGTCAAGTTTTACCCACCGGACCCTGCCCAGCTCACAGAGGACATTACAAGGTGAGTAAAAGCAGGTACTTCCCATCACCCACTTTTCATTCAGTGGTCCATGGACCTAAATTTCTCTCCTTACATTTGAAAATATATCCTCTAGCTGTCAATCTCACTGGGATACCTATTCTGTCCTGATATGCTAATACATGGATTTAAGATAAATGTGTTGAATTTCTGCTGCTGTTATTGTGAACAGACACTTCTTGTTTTACTGATACATTTGCAAATTAAAAAGAAAAGCTTAAAATTTAAAAAAGAGAAGAAGAGAATGTATTGAACCAACCCCCCCAGCCCACACACACACACACACACACACAAGTTACCCACTGCTAGCATTTGTCTTGAGAACAGATTGCTTTCCACTGGTAGACAGGAGAGAGAGCAATTGGCAATCAGCCCCAGGATTTACCTCCTACTTTGAGAGCACATAATAGCATGGCTAATTCCCCAGCTACATGGCTAATAACGCAAATATCCCTGTGACACTCCACTGGCCTACACCCCTCCCCCCCGCCCCCGGATGCTTATCAAAGTGGTGAGCTTTAAAGCAAAACAGACTTTCCCTTAGATCCAGATCTAGCAATTATGTCCATGTTCATTTTTACTCTAACATAGGCACAGGTGGGGCTGATCTGGCTCTTAAATCCCGCACTTGCATATGATGGTCCTGGTCTGGATTGGAGGCCTTGCACTTAATCTAAAGTAAAGATGGGGGGAATTTATACAGTTAAAATTTGTTTGTTTATTTGTTTCATAATTGAAATTATAATCTACATTAACCAATAGTCCAGGAGGACTCTCTGGGCTCTCTTGGTAGGTACAGTTTCAAAATAATAACTGTTTTTGCCTTTTGTTTATCCTGGGGACTCAAATACTTTTACACATCAATGTTTTCTATTTTGAGATATTCCAAATCATGTAAGCAGCCCCAGACAGCAGCAAAAATATGATGCCCATCAACTTCCTAGTGGTCAGCCATATGTGGCCTGCATTTGGCTTGGTGGGCCAAAGGTTGTACAGGATTACCTTATCAAAAGGGAAGCCTGACCCACCCTTAGCAAAAGGCCCCAAGAAATTTACTGTTGTCTTTCTCCCTTTCACTGTGGATGCTCTAACTACCTGCACTCCCTCTTCCCTAGATATTACCTGTGCCTGCAGCTTCGAGCAGACATAATCAGTGGTCGTCTGCCCTGCTCCTTCGTTACACATGCACTGCTAGGCTCCTATGCTGTGCAGGCTGAACTAGGAGACTTCGATGCTGAGGAACATGTGGGAAACTATGTCGGTGAGCTTCGTTTTGCCCCAAACCAGACTAGGGAGCTTGAAGAGCGGATAATGGAGCTGCATAAGACTTACCGGTGAGCTTGTTTTCATCTTTTGCAGTCTGCATCAAGATCTGGTGAACTTGCCATCTCAATTATTTTGAAGCAAATAGTTTTGCACAACCTGTCCTATAAAATCCCTGTTTTCTTTCAAAGGGGCATGACGCCTGGTGAGGCAGAAATTCATTTCCTGGAGAATGCAAAGAAGCTTTCTATGTATGGAGTTGACCTGCATCATGCCAAGGTACTCAGCAGCTGAGGATTCAGAAGTCTAGGAACATAGAGCTAGGAAGGAGCTTTGCTCCAGAAGTCTTCTCCAAGCAACCCTTCCCCTTCTTCCAAGGCCTGCCTTAAGCCATCTAAAGTGGTACCTTGGCTCACGAACGCCTTGGTTCATGAACAAATCGGGCCACGAACAAAGATTTCATTAAAATTTTGACTTGAGTCACTAACTCTGCATTGGGTGGCAACCAAGATCGCAGCCGTCTCCCCCGCGGCTGTGCTGTGCCACGCCTGTATTTCCTGCGACAGTGCACCCATGATCACGCATGTCTTCCGTGCACAAACGGAACTGCGATCGTGGCCATCTCCCCACTTGGCATGCTCCTGCAGGGAAGACAGGTGCAATCTCGGCCATTCTTCCTCCCCCAGTGCGCCCGCAATCACACCCGCCTCTCCCTCACTACCCCCCAGCATGCCGGGATGACGGACGCGTGCCAGGATGACGGGCACGTACTGGGATGACGGGCGCCTGCAGGGATGACAGGCACAATCTCAGTCATGCAGGGATGACAGGTGTGATCGCAGTCATGCTGGGGGGCGGGGGGCGGGGAGATGGCTGTGCTTGTGCTCGGGGTGGCGGGGCAGGGAGATGGCTGTGATCTTTGTTGTTGTCACTTTGCTTCACATTTTTCTGATTTAAAAAATGGTTACAGAACAGATTGACCTTATTTACATTGACCCTTATGGGGAAAATTAACTTGGCTCACGACCAATTTGGGTCACTATCAGAGTCCTGGAATGGGTTAAGTTCATGAGCCAAGGCACTACTGTACTCTCTGCTTGTGCCTCAACTGCAAGGGTGAGCCACATGCCAAGTACACGTGACCTCCCTTGTCCTTTATATAGCCCCCAGCATAGTGCAAGACGGAAAGGGCAGCAATTGATGTGAGAGGAGGGGTCTTGGGAGCTAATCCCCACCCCCTGGCATCATCTGGTGCTCTGAACCAATAACAGTTTGGCATCCCTATTCTAAAAGATGCACTGAGTTTCAAGCCATAGTTTTAGGCACCAAAATTCAAGTGCACACCATCCCATATCTGTGAGTGACTCCTTCTTTCCTGTTAGTACATTTAACAGCACTTTGTCTTGTGGAACAGAATTTTTGAACAGAGATGAGATGAGATGAGATGGGAATGATCCCTCCAATCCCATTCTTTCCACTTCCACTTTAGTATAAGTTGCAAGCTATCACTGCAAAACATACATTTTGGGAGAGTGACTATAGTTCAGTGCATGCTTAGCACACAGAAGGTTCCATCGGAGGCATCTCCAGGTAGAACAAGAAAAAAGTCCTGCCAGTCACTATTGACAATACTGGTCTAAATGGACCAGTGTTCTGACTCCGTAGAAAGCAGGTTCCAGGTAGCCACAGCTTGCTGTAGAGTTTAAGAAACTCACTTAGTGAATGGTCCAAACCCAGATGACATGCTAAGCCACCATCAAGCCAAAAAACAAAGGAGAGTTGCTGCTCTGACCAAAGCACTCTGGCCAGAGTTCTCTTCCTCCTCCTCCTCCTCAGGACAGAGGAGGCATGCTGCACGGCAGGGCCTGTTTCACTTTGCTTCTTCGAGAGGAAGCAGCCATGGGGGCCCTCCCTGCTCACTCCTTCAACCCAACTGGCTAAATTCTCACCAGCTGGGTGGGAGTGGCATAAACCTGGCAGTGCCCCATATCTCTGCCAGTTGGGTTGATGGGGGTGGCAACAGAGCAGCAAAGAGTGGTGCACAGGCCAGCCCCCCACTGCTCAGCTATGATGTGATGCAGCTAAGCAGTATGGAGGGAAGGGTTGCCTCATGCGGGGCTTGGAAGTCTTCCCTTCTTGCCATTTAGGCATGGTGTGGCTCAGCTGAGCTGTGCAGTGGCTGAGTGGTGGGGGGCAGAACGGCCCAATGTCAGGCAGCTTGTGCCCCCTCCACTCCAAGTTCCCTGCCCTACACTCCTGCAGCTGCCAGAAGAGCAGGATTACTCATGAGCAATCTTGTTCTACCAGCATTGGCAGAAGCGGGGGACAAGGTAGTGGATGACAGCTTCTGGAAGTAGCTATCAGCCTGCTCAGCACTCCAGTACATGCCATTTGGGGTACCAGCTGGAGGACTGGAGAGGAAAACGGGGGAAGCCATGCCTGATCATTAGTCAGGCAGAATTGCCCCCTGGCAGCTTTAAACACAGAGTGCCTTCATAATCACTCTGTGCTGAAAGTATTGTCCACATGTGCCTACTGTTTCCTAAGTGCTTAGATAAGAATCTGTTGCGTGCTATAATGTTTGGAGGAAAAAATGTAGCTATGCACACTTGCAATCCAGAAGGAAACATTTAGAATCACAGAAGTCATGCAATATGTCGAGCAGTTTAGCAACCCCTCCCCTGATTCCTCATACCTAAAGCATCCTTGATATTTTTCCAAGAAGAATGAGGTGACCTCTTCCTCCTAATCATAAACCCCCTTCCTCCAGCCTAGGCTGGGACAATAAAGATCTACTTTGCCTATAGCCAAAGGAGGGAGCTTGGCTTACCAGTGGAGTTTGCATTACTCAGAATGTGGCTGACCAGCTGGTCCTTTTTGAGTTTTTAGTGTATGTTAATATGAGTCAGAGGGAGGTAGATGCAGGAAGCAGCCCACTTGAAAGTTAGGAGGGAGAAGTATTGACCTGTCCCTACTCCACTCCTGCTTTCATCCTTGCTATTGACAAGCTTAAAAATAATACCTTGGCATGGACCTACTGGCTTTGAGGATTTGTTTGGAATACCCTTTTGGCTTTGTATCGGCAAGTTTTTATATGCACTAACGCAACAATGTCTCTCATTTTCTGTCATGGTTCCTGTTCAGGACTCGGAAGGCATTGACATCATGCTGGGTGTTTGTGCCAATGGCCTTCTCATTTACAGGGACAGGCTGAGAATAAACCGTTTTGCCTGGCCCAAGATCCTCAAGATTTCATACAAAAGGAGTAACTTCTACATCAAAATTCGACCTGGTGAGGTAAGCATCTCCAGTTCGACAGAAAGAAAGAGGAAGCATGCTTTAACAGACGCTTGATTAGATAATGAGGCATGAATCAGTTCCTGGGGAGAATCTGAATGTTAGAGAAGTCCATTTTCTCATTTGGCTAATGGGGTTTGATGGGTCTACAGATGTTTTCTTGGCTTAATAGCCAGCCATTATTTATGATTGCCACAGGTTCCTCCCCTTCAGTCCTCTGGCATGGATCAGAGGATGGATGGAACTGATCTTTCACTTTCTGCTAGGCTTCGGGAAATGACTCTTACCATTTCTGCCTTCTTTAAACTCTCTTCGGAGTTTTCTACAAATAGTGAGGACTCTGCAACACCTGTTTGTTTGTTTGTTTGTTTTTTCGTGCAAAGTGAAAGATGGATTCCTCCTTTCCCTAAATTCTCTGTGCATGCTGAGGGACCTGGGGAAAGGGGCTTGGTCTCACGCCTGGCATGGTGAAACAGTTCTCTGCCCCACACTCTCGAGATTTTTCTATTCACAAAGAAGTCACGGAGGACAACCAGAGTTCAAATAGTTGCCACTGGAACCTAACGAGCAGGTTTACTACTGCTTAAACCTGCAGGTTTAATTCTACTGCAGGATAGTACATTTTTATTGTACTTCATGTGTCACTTGGCTTATCTGTTGCCTGGATGTTTGCTATTAGCAACTGCTGCACTGTAAGTAATTTGAGTACCATCAAAAAGTACCATCCGTACTTTTTGCAGTGAATTTCCTTCTGATTCCATTGTTTACAATCCTTCCACTACCACCATGTGTACTAAATTAAAAGAAAGAAAGAAAAAGGGAAGCTCCATAATATTTCATGCATCTGGTGAAGTAGTCTGTAGTCCACAGAAGTTTATGTCAGAATAAATGTGTAAGTTTTGAAAGTGCCACAAGACTCTTGTTTTTGTGTATCGGGGTTTCTCTCCCTGACCATCATCCTGGTGCTTTCAGGGCACCTCTTGGGAGAGAGTGACTAGATCCTTGGTCATAATGCCTTTGTTTCCTGCATTTCCAGTATGAGCAGTTTGAGAGTACAATTGGCTTCAAGCTGCCCAACCACCGTTCGGCCAAGAGACTTTGGAAGGTTTGCATTGAGCATCACACATTCTTCAGGTGAGATGGGGAAGTTATGAAGGTATTGCCCTACGCAGTAAGTTGCAGCAGATTCAGATCATTCCTCAGCCATGAAATATTGCTTATAGGGTTGTTGTGAAAACAGAATGAAGGAAAAGCATTGCCTGGAAATCTAAATGCATTTAGAAGCAGGGCTGGATTAACTATAGCTAATTTATTAATTTATTTAAACTTTTTATAACTCATCAAATCATTACAAAATCTCAAGACAGTTTACACAGAACAGAAAAAATAAAAACAATTATTACAACAATAACAGTTAAAAACCCCTAACTGCCAGCACTTGATGCAACTAATTAAAATACCGTTATCAATTTAAAAACTGGGAAAATAAAAAGGTTTTGGCCTGGCACCAGAATGAAAAAAGCATTGGTACCAAGCGCACCTCTCTGGGAAGCAGCTTTCATAATCTGGGCACTATCGCAGGGAAGACACTCCTTGAACAACCCTCCTCACCTCCTCTTGAGGGCTCTTGGGTGAGGACCTCCACTGATGATCTTAGGGTCTGGGCAGGCTCATATGGAAGGAGACGTTCCCTTAGGTAACCAGGCCCTGAACTGTTTAGGGCTTTATGTTATTGTTAGTACCTTAAATTGGGCCCAGCATGTGATTCATACTGTTGGATGAACCATTTGAAGAATTTCAGGCTTTGTCTTTTTTTTTTTTTTTTAAACTACACACATACATCAGTACACCTTGCAGCCAGGCACATGGGTGTGGTTGCATTATTACCTGACAGAGGAAGAAGCAATCCTATTTCCAGCTATGGAAAATATTGTGAACCAAGCCAATATGGTGGGCATGGTTAATGCGAAGGATCAGGCAAGCCGGAGGAATGTTTTATGCTCTGTGATCTGAGAGAATTCTGCCTTGTTGGACAAAGTGTGGCTTCATGGTCCATGGGTTTTTGATCCTCAGAATAAGGTTCCACAGAAGACTTTGTGACTTTCTTTTAAAATGCTCTTCAAGGAGGGAAGATTCTAAGGCATCTTTTTTTCTCTATTCTCCTGGCCTCACACTTCGCAGATTTCCACTTCTGTTTTCATCGGAACTGTTTTCTGTTCCAACAGTGCAATGTTTTATACATCAAGACACATTATTGGATCCTTTGCCCTGTAGGTTTCCTGTGACATCCTTTCCCCATTAACAGCCCCTGAAAAACAGCTGGCAGAACATTCAAGGATGCACTTAGAAGCTCTATCTGCCTAGATGACAACAAGAACCAAGTGTGACTGGCTGTGTCACATTGGGCAGACCTCCATGCAATGCAGGAAAATCTTTCCTTCCATGTGGAGCTTCTCACAGTCCCCTACACCTTGTCACATTCACAACGCATAGAAGGAGGGACATGCAGATGAGAAAGGGCATATGCCTGGCTGTGGTGGGAATAGGAATTGTCTATGCCTCTGGAGGAATGACATCAAGAAGGTTTGCAAGACATAAGAATCCACAATGGATTTTGTTTCATGTCATTGTGTTTTGTTTCATTTCTGCACTATCCAATAGCTAAAGCTTTCTGTGCAGTTTACAACAGTTGTCACTGTGTGTCTGCTTTGGGATCACTGCAGCTTTCCCTCCTTCTGAACTTAAGCAATGCTGGTTTTACAGCAACAAGCAGTCACTTCAAAGTGCCCCACTGCACTGTAGAGGAGCTGGCTGGGGCTTCCCAGTATTTTAAACTTTTTGCACACAAATTTATGTAACATCCTGAGTAGATTGCTGTAATGCACTTTTGGAGACTTCAACTGGTCCAAAATAAGGCTGCTCGTCTAGTGTCGAGTACCAGTTCAAGTGCCCATACAACACCTTTCAGCTGTAAAATGGAAAGTGTGCTGGCATAACCTGTTTTTTACAATCAAAATAATCTTTGCTGCAGTCTAAGTCATTTTATCAGCTAATTTTTACATTTTGTTTATAATACCTGGTCCATAATGACTTAGAAGTAAACTTGACATTGTGTGTACAGGTCATTCTACATGGAATGTAGCAGGTAACATGCTGTGCCACCATTTTATATATGGCTCCAGTTGGTGGATTTTGGGATGTTCATGTGAAAAACCCATAGTAACTTCAGGAAGAACCATTCCACAGCCTGACTGGAATCATCACTTGATATAGCTGACTTCCTGGGTTCGGTCTTATAGAATGACCTCTGACTTATTGGATAGGGAATGAAATGCAGCTAATTAAACATCTTTCTAGGCAGAGTATATCCACTAGGGTTTGAAGAAGGTATGGAGGATTTTTTATGCAAACTTACCCAACTTGAGCATTCCAAACTTATGCTTGAACTGGAACACACTTGCACCTCAAACCTGCCCTTTGCAGAAGTGAATGCAGTTCATGATTCCAAAATTTTGTATATCAAGGAAAAGTATGTCTAGTATGTATATTAGTGAAACATGTACACAAATACCCCTATATTAGAAGGACATTGTTTGCAAAAACCATGCACAGAAATACATATATTGGGAAAAATAAATATGAAAATGCCTGCAATCTTTGCAGCTCCATTTTTGCTGACTTTGCAAACTGATGCAGATGCGAGCTAAAATGAACTTGCACTCAGGAAACTGAGAAAAAACATGAAAATGAAATTGAAGTCTACTATAATTCCTGCCTCCATTCCCACTATTATATACATCCACACCTGTGTTTGAAGCATGGGGTAGAGCCTTCCCCTGGCTTCTCATTTATTTCTTGGTTTCCTTAGACTGCATTGCATATAGCAATGCCAGTGAGTCTTTGCCTCTGTATTATTTATGCCTGCTGTAGCCTCAATATAGAGTAGTTGTAAATATCTTAAAACACATTTTTTAAAAAATCCTCAAGGGTTGTACATGAACCCTATACACAAGCTTGGAAGCAGATGCTGTCATAACAGAGCCTACTAACAGCAGATATATTTACAACCGTATAAATACATTGTCCCCAAAGAGCTGTATCAGCAGATGTTTGCTTACTAAACCTAGAAAACGTGCTGGTATAAGTTCTGCACATAGTCCTGGCCTCTGTCCCATTCCTTTTTAGTTACGACTTGGTTCCCACCCTATTCCTGCATTCCAGGAATTAATATCAGAAGAGTCCATCAAGGAATCTGAGTTATCACTGTAGCTCTTATCTCTCATGGATAAACTTCCTACAAACCTTATTAGATTAATTATTAGGAATATCTTGGGCATGGATAAAAGATCTCTTTAAAATTTCACTAAAAATTAGAATAAACTATGTTGTATAATCCAGAGACTGTCTCTAATCCTGCTTTTTATTCAGCAGGCTCACTAAATAAGTAGAATTGTAATGTTTGAGATGTTTAGAAAATGTATAATGTACAACATTATTTATGTGGCATATGAGAGTGTTTTAGAAGAAACCCAAGTGCTGTCTTAGAAGGACCAGTTATGGGCCGGCCACCATTTAGCCTACTTTACTTCACAAGTTTCCTGTAGATATGGAATGCCATGAAAAAAAGAATAGACTCAATAGCAATAAATATATACACAAACAAACAAAGCTATTTTAAAAACCTAGTTGTTTGGCCTTCTACTGCAAATGTGCTTTTCATGGAGCGATATGGAGCCTGTAGATCAGTATAGCTCTGTTACATATAATGATGCATATGACTGCAAATGTAATAAGTGGCTTCTGCTGGATGAAAGACTCAACACATATTTGGGATGAGGAAGCACATCATTTAAAACAAATAGCAGAAGTTTAGGAAGTTGTGATAGTATTGCTGCATTATCTTGAGAGGGTTCAGCCTTTTAAGGTGGCCTAAACATAATTTGAAATAAATAAGAGCCACTGTAGCCATTATTAGCCCTCATCTAGTCCATTAAGTGCCTTGAATTATGACCTAAGTCAGGAGAGAAACAGAGGGAATGTGACTTCGTTGGTACTCCTGGATCTCTCGGGCTTTCAATGCCATTGACTGTGATAGCCTTCTGGGTGACTGTCTGATCTGGGAGTGGGTGGTACTGCATTGAAGTGGTCCCACTCCTATTTGGATGGCCAGCTCCAGAGGGTGGTGTTTGGGAAACACTGCTTGGCCCCATGGTTTCTCTAACATGGACTTCTTCAGGGGCTGGTCCTATCCCCCATGCTCTTCAGCGTCTACATGAAACTGCTGAGTGGCATCATCAGGAGTTTTGGACTGTGTTGTCATCTGTACACTGATGACGCACAGCTCTCCTCCTTTTCATCCTCATCAGGTGAGACTGTAGATGTGCTGAACCAATGTCTGGCTATAGCAATGGACTGAATGAGGGCTGATAAACTGAATCTCAGTCCAGACAAGACTAAGATGATGTTTGTGGCTGGTTCAGATGGTGGGTTATCAAACTGTTCTAGGTGGAATTGCACTCCCCTCAAAGGAGCAGAATCATAGTTTAGGGGTGCTCCTTGATCCATAAAGATGTATCTAATGGAGAAGCTAGAATCCTGAACTGTACCACTTCAGATTATGGGGTGGCTGAGGCTGACAAAGCAAATGCATCGAACAGCAAGTCTAATGTCACGTTTTCTCCAATATGCTACTTGATCATTGTTGTGTTGTTATTTCCATTTCTGTGCTGCCCATAGCCAAAGCTCTTGGGGCAGTTTATATTCATTTACTGTACCACAGAATACATAACATATAGTACAAAGTAGAAATATTATTATTATACTGCATTTATATTCTGTTTTCCTCTTGTGAGGAACCCAAAGTGGCTTAGATAGTCCTCCTCTACTCCATTTTTATTGTTACAAGAACACCCCCGCGAGGAATGCTAGGCCGAGAGTCCATGCCTGGCCCAAAGTCACCCAGGGAGCTTCATGGTTGAGCAGGGACTAGAATTCGAATCTCCCAGGTCCCTAGTTCAATACTGACCACCACACTGGCTCTCTGTTAATGCAATAAAAAGTGTACAAAACTTTCAAAGCTACATTTGAGTGATTTAAACAACTAAAAAAGCTGATACAATTTTTGTGTTAAAAAGAGGTGGTATCAGCTCCCACACCACAGCATATGCCATTAAATGCCATGGCAGAGGTGTTTTAACACGTGGCTGAAAAGATAACAGAGTGGGTGTCAGGTGGGTCTCAGTGGGGTGATCATTTCAAAATCAAGAGGTGGGTAAATCAGGAATCGATGATACAGTACAGAGGGAATGATGTAACAGAAACATTAAAAATGCTTCTCTCCCAGCATTATGGCGCAGAGTTTAAAATCCTACCACTTCAATCCACTTAATATGTAGAAAAGGTTCAGAATTTGTATCAGGGCAGAATGAACATAGGTGCATCAAACTTTTGGATGATCTGTCTCATTCATTGCATCCTTAGGGTATGTAGAATTGATTTCCTTCAAAATTAGGGCATCAAAGACTGATTTGAGCCTGATTTGAAGGTGTAAGTTGCTGCATAGCTAACTTGCAGTCAGTTGTTATGGCATCTAAGAATCACCATCAGTGATGAAGGAAACCTTTTGACTGGATGAGAATTTTGGGGAAAAAATAGTGTGGTATCTGTTGACTATATATGTGACCATACATTTCAGCTAAAGATATTTGTCCTGGAATAAGCAGCTAGACTGGCCTTCCTCACTGCCTACCAGATGCTTTCAACTTCAACATCCGTCAGCCCAACCACAGCCGTGCTGGCAGAAACTGACAGAAGTTGTAGTCCACAGCATCTGACAGGCAATAGAATGGGGTAGTCTAGGCTAAGTCATTAGATTTCAGTGATAACATTCCAATATGTCAAACTGTGGACTGTGAAACTTTGATCAAATATCAGTCCTACCCACTCTCCCTCTATATCAGTGTTAGTGCTTTGCACCCTACTATTGAATGACACACTGTTCTGTTCTTCCTTCTGTAGGCTGGTGTCACCGGAGCCTCCTCCAAAGGGCTTCCTCGTGATGGGTTCCAAGTTCCGCTACAGTGGGCGAACTCAGGCTCAAACACGACAGGCCAGTGCCCTGATTGATCGTCCTGCCCCATACTTTGAGCGCTCCTCCAGCAAACGGTACACCATGTCTCGCAGCCTCGATGGAGGTATGCCCCAAATTGGGGAGGGGGAGGGAGATTGGTTTCCTGGTGGGCGTGGGAAGGCTTTTGTTGAAAGGATACAAAGGTGATGGGTGGAGGGCTACGTGAACAAGTTTCTTGTTTCTTCTTGTTGGGCTCCAGGGCAGTTTTTCTTCAAGGTTGGGAAGGAATCCCTGAGTTGCTGCCCATGCCAGGCTGCCCATGATAAGACAGAAGGGGACACTAGGGAAATGAGATGATGGTTCCCAAGCAAGGGCAATTCTGTTGCTGGTCCTTAGCAACCACAGGTGAAATATGTAAGCCACCTTGGGTTTCTTGCTGAAAAAAAAGGCAGGCTATAAATATAATAAACAAATTACTCTTTGGACAATGTCAGTCTATGATTTACAACAAATGACCCTCTGGTAGGAACCAGTCATCTTGTGCAGGGATATGTTCTTGAAGGCAGTTGCTATTAACAGCTAATTCCAAGGCCCCATAAATGCTTCTGCAAGATGCTCATTTCTGGGAGTGAGAACATTAAGAGATAGATACTTACTGTGGGGAATGAACTGCTCAGCAGTAATCAGGCACATCACTTGAGTGGGCTGATACAGAGCAGCTAATAGATCAAGTTCCCCATGACACAACTCACAGGTTTCTTTTTTAGTACTTGGTCGGTGTTGGAATCCAGCAACTCTTTAGCTGAAGGACACTGGAGATTGCTCCAGACTGGACAGATTTTTTACTTCTTCAGTCTAATAGGATTTCATTGGCACTTTTAATGGATGCTAGCTTGAGCAAGGTGCTAACTGCCCCTTCTGGCCAGGAAGAGTATTTAGTATTGGAGAGTACATGGATAAGAAAATTGCATTCCCTAAAGCAACCTAGGTCCTATTCTTTAGAGAGTGACAAAATGGGAAGCAAAGAACACAAGCATAAAACTCTTTCAGGAAGAGATGGCTCAGTCAGACTGAATGGGGAGTGGGGAGACAACTAGAATAATTGTGTGGTTTCCACTAACCAAATTTCGCATCTTGCATTGCCTCTTACACTGCTGTAAGCTCAGCACATACAAGTGATGCAAGAGCCCCAGTTCAGATTTTTGGGGTGGAGAAATGGCAGATACCTTGTTGATAAGACTTAAAGAGCTGCACTTGTTACATTCAAGACTGAATCCCAAGCAGAAAAGAACTGTTTTAAAGAGCATTTCCTGTAGTTACTCTTTTTTACACCTCATACTAGCCATAGCAACGTTAGTAATGTGAGTCAAAGAATCACACTTCTATTTTTAAGGAAAGGAAGAGAATGGGACATACCAGCAGCCTTGGGAGAGCTCACTACAGGCATGTCCGTGCCATTGCTGGAATTTGGATGGGGGGTGGGGGAATGGGGGACTCGAAGCAGCAAGAGGGCTGCAGAGCAAGGCCTTGGTGCTGTGTGCCCACAGGCCATGTGTTGGACTACCCCAGCCTAAGGAATAGTCTGAAAAGTCTCTTGAAATTTGAAAGTAAGGATCATACCACCTCCTTCTGCCCTCTGCATATAGCACTGTTGATGAGGTTTTAACAAGGTTTCACATAGATGTTCATACTGCCCATGAGGCAGTTACTTGACAGTGAGGTAAGCAGAAGATGGTCAGGTCCAATGCAGCTGAGTAGGGATATTCTGCAGTTGTCCATGACAGAAGTACCATGGCTCCAAGGATCCAAATAAAACAATGATCAATTTCTTATTCTTGGGACAGAATTGGATCTAGTATTAAAAAGTTATGCTTAAAATTTAGAAAATAGTTCTGCCCTTGTGTTTGGGTGGACTCACTGGGACAAAATAGGGGTCCTCTGCCTCTCTCTCTCACATGCAGAATTCTCCCGCCCAGCTTCTGTCAGCGAAAATCACAATGGAATGGAGTCAGAAAAGAGAGACGAAGACAGCAGGTATGGCGGAAGAACGCGGTCCGAGGCTGAGGACGAAGAGGTGACTACCCCAACAAAAATCAAGGAGCTAAAGGTACAATATTACACTCGGAGGGGGGAGGGGGCTTCTGCAGTGTTTGCACCTGCTGTCTAATATCATAGCTTCCTCCTAGGAAGTTACTGCAGAAAGCAATGCATTTAGCTATTTATTAATTTAAATATCTAGGCTGCCTTTCAGGGTGGCATGCAGCAGTTATAATAAAACAGATGCAGCAATAAAGATAAGTCAGCATTCTAAGAAACAAAGACCAGCATGAGGCAGAGTTAGCATTACAAGGTTCTACCTCTGCCACCCAACTGAGTGAGGAATGCTTCCCAGTTCTATAATACAAAATAGCACCCATCATGGAAATAATAGCATGTGGTTTGGCCTGAAATCCTCATACATCCCCTTGCCATTCCTCAAAGTGTACCTATGGCTTCCGTTAAACAACTGTTAGCTTTGCACCAGTGTGCTCTAGGAAGCCAATTGTCCCTGAGAACAAGGGTTGCCCTGTTTGTGGGGTGCTTTGTATGACTTCCTGTGCCAACAAGAAATATTTTGGTGCTTGCTACAGTATGGCATGGGAAGTTTTCAGCTTGTATGACAGTAATAGTATGAAGAGTATAGCTCCTTTGCTGGTCAGAGGAGAATATCACTTCTAACTATTTAAACTGAGCTTTGCCGGTTTCCCTTTGACATTCACAAGAAGAAGCAAAGGCGCTGTATACCCAGAGGCAGATATTCTGGCAAACACAGAACATACCTTCAAATGACAGACTTTCTGTGTCACAATGGATTCCCTAGGCTTTTCCCCAAGGTGCCTTTGGGGAAGAAGAGCTTCATTTTTTCATAACAAGTAGAGCTTGTCGACTGTCTTGTTTCTCCAATAACAAGAACCTTTCTTCAGATCTGGATGGTCATCCCCTTCGTGTTTGAAACAAGTGCGTATCCTGGCATCAAGGACAGGCAATTTCACATGGGTGTGTGGGCATGACAACACAAGTACACAGGTTAAATCACCTTAAATGTCTGTTACAAATTAGCTTGGAACCTGTGTCCCAAGGTCCAGACCCTGATTTTTCAATATTTTCTGATCAATTTGAATGAATATTGGACTTTTTTTTGTTTAGTCGCAAAGTCATGCCCATCTCATCATGACCCCATGGACAACATTCTTCCAGGCTCTCCTGTCCTCCACCATCCGGACTTTTATATAGTCATGGGCAAATTTCTCTTGGCTATATTTAGAATCAGGCTCTGCAGACCAATCTATTTCTTTGCTCTCTAGTGTGTCTTCCCTGCCAGCAGTTCTTTCTTCATCAAGAGTTCAGTTTGCTTGGGATGAGGAAGGGAACTATCAAGGAGGGATAGCTAGTGGCAAAACTCCAGTACATTATAAGCCAGAACTGAGTTCTGAGGGATGCAGCAGGGGAATCTAATTAATTGACTGACTGACTGACTATTTATACCCCACTCTTCTGTCCCACAGATCACATTTCCAAATTATTCTCCAACAATAACTTCCTGGATCATAAAACCACTGTTTCCCTAGCTTGTAGTACAAAGGGAAGCCTAAATCATAGGGAGTCCTTTGCAGTGCTGGAAATGTCCTGTTGAAAGCATGTGGCATCATTGATGATATTTTTCTTGGCTCCTGAGTTAAAACTGTAAAGTGTATTGTATGAGTTCCCTTGACTGACCCTGCCAGTTACTCTCCCTCCCTCCCTCCCACCTCTTTTTGCATACCAGCCGGAACAAGAAACCACCCCAAGGCACAAACAGGAGGTATTCTCTCTCTGGAATGTCTTAACTCCTCATCAGTGTATCCTAGTGCTCATCCTTTTTAAAAATGCAAATGGCATTGTATGTGCCCCTATTTACTGGAATGAAAGATGCGGCTTAGACTGAGACTAGGGGACATCCCTCTCACATGCATTCAAACAAACTTTGATGCTTAGCTGAAAGAAGAATTCTTTACCGGAAGCAAAAGCTGCATCTTTTATCCCACTAAGTAAGTCATTCCCCTTCATCTTGTTCCTGTGAACAAAATGCCCTCCTAGCAAGCAGTAGCCAGGTCACTTCAGCTATTTGCTTCCTGGGAAATCATGCCTATTTTGTCACTCAACTGACTCTTCCCTGCTTTTTCTTGGCATTCCATTGTCTTTGTTTCTTTCATTTTCCGGCCCTGATGTCCTCAGGTAGAAGATGCAGAAATAGGCTTGATAAGAACTTATAGCCCTGAATCACAGGACATAACATCTGTATCATTGCCCCAAGTTGGTCTGCTTTAAGCCCACCTAACCACTGGCTAAGTTGCCAAGTAGTGGAGAGCAATATCCCAAAGCTGCCTGCCATTTTGCTTTGAATGATAAACTTGGTGCAACTAAAAGCACAATTGGATGAGGATGAGTGCAGCCAGTAAAGGATGAGTGTAGCCATATTCTGACCCTGTTATGGAACTTTCTACATGGCTGTGAACAAGAAGTTTAGAAGATTCGTCAAAACTTGGCACAAGGCTTAATTTTGCAGATTGATTTTACTCTGCAAAGATGTTACTTAGCTTTTTTTTTTCCAGACCAGAGCTGCAAGTTTCCTGTTTAAACTTGCCTAAAGCACATATGAAAGTTTTTGTTCATTCTTAATGGTGTTGAATCAGGTTCTAGAATCAAGCTGAAATAGAACCACAATCAAATTAAAATGTTTTAGCTACATGCTGTGTTTTTAATACTAAACTTCTTGTTTTCACTGTAGGCCACTGGCTTATTGCCAGACTGTTCCCACGGGTTCTCTCCACCCTGGCCCCTCCAAATTCTCCAGACACCTGATTTTCAGTGCCGGCTGTTGTTCCCTCCATGTTGTCACATCATCCGTTACTTCTGCATGTTCTCTATTGCAATCCTTAATGGTCCTTATTTACAACCTCACCAGCACATGAATGGGGCAACTGGCAAACTGCTTCAGAGATTCACATCATTCTGGTTCTTTGTTTTTTTGATCCCTAGGACAGTAATTCCTAAAATGTATTTTGCTGCTCAACACAAAAGAACTGGTAGTCAGCCACAGAAGATAAGCCTGCAGCTCTGTACCCACCTACCTGAGCCATTGAACTCAGTGGGATATACTTCTGAGTAAACTTGTACAAAATTGTACTTTAAAGGTTTCTTTAAGTACCCATCCACAGAGGAGGCTGCTTGTTGCATCTCTGCATGAAACATTGCTCTGGTCTTGCCTCCTTCCTATCAGCCTGTGCATGGGTAAAGAATTATATTGTATTTATGCTTTGGATTTAGTATGGTCATTCATTCTCTCCCATTGCAGCAGCAGCAGAATTGCCAGCCCTCCAGTTGCTCCTCTGCATGAATAATTGTTCTGGGCTTGCTTCCTTCCTGGTAGAAATTGTACCCAGAATAGTTCTTCAAGCAGAAACACAAGAAGCATGCTTCTCTGGGGGAAGGTAATTCATAGACTCACATGTTCCAGCAGAAACCTTTCAGGAAACAATTAAATTTTTATTTTAAATTCAAAGTGTGGTTGGACAATCATATATTTGGAAAACATTGCTCTATGATGAGGAATATCAGGCCAGTCAATTGCCTTTTATGGTACCTGGATGGAGCTGTGAAATGCAAAGAAGGCTTTCATCCAGAACACATCAAAACAGACAGGGAATTGGACTCTTGCAGTCTAAATTAGGTATACATATTTAAGTTTTTCATCCTTTGAATCAGTTTGTCTGGTCTAGCAGACTGGAGCTTCACTTAACCACAGGCAAAGCTGTATAAGAGAGGTTGATTTGGTATTAGTACTAGTCCTGAGCCCAATTTTATCATGAGCCAAACCTAGATTTCCTGTCCTGTACCTTTTTTGTTATTTGGAATGGCCCATATCTGGTTGCTGATTCACATTTTAAATGCTTGGCCATTTCAACCACAGATGATGTCCTGAGGACACCTAGTGGAATTTACTATAGGAGACGAACCCAAGATAGGAACTGATCTGGCTATCTCCTGGGCGCTTGGGCTGTTGGCTGTGGAAAGATTAGTCTTCCAGTGAAAAATAATATTAGAAATATGTCAATAGACGCCAAGATTACATTGGTAATCTAAAATAGATTACTACAGTATTTACTTGTAAAAGGATAGATGCATGAAGAGGTCTCTTTGAGAATGTTGAGATTTTTTGAAAGACAAAAGGACCATACTTTATTCAGATCAGTGGCAGAACTGCCTTTCAGTACCTAAATCATCACCCTAAATTGTGGTTTAATTTGAATTTAATTACTAAATTCTGTCTGAGAAAATAAGGCCTCTGTGAGTCTAAATTCAGTGCTTCCACCTCGCAAAACATCACTTGTTGCCCCACTCATGTTCCCACCATTAACCCTCTCCTCAGTAGTTACCTTCCCCTCTCCCTCCAAAAGTTTTTAGACAAACCGGAAGATGTTTTGCTAAAGCACCAGGCCAGCATCAATGAGTTGAAGAGGACACTAAAGGAACCTAACAGCAAACTCGTGCACAGGGACCGGGATAGGAGACTACCTTCCTCACCTGCCTCTTCCTCACCCAAACATGAGGATGAGACACCAAAGGGAACTCCAGAGAAAACCAATGAGGTTTGTTTTGCTGTTATCCTAATTATATGAAGGTATTGTCTCTTGCATATCATGTTGCTATGCAGTTGTGCTATTTCTAATATTTATTTGTGCCTTTGTACTTGGGTCAGTAGATGCTCTGGATCATAACGGAATCAGCCTGACCAGATGTTAGTGGCATTATCTCAACTTCCTTCAGAAAATGAAACCCTTGTCTATGTGAGGAAAAAAAAAAAAAAAAAAAAGGAAGCCCAAACTCGCACAAGGGAGATGCAAGTAGACAATAAGAAATGCAAAACAGCATTTTATGGAAAGTAATAATATCAATAGCAACAAGGAAGAATTATTTAAATAGACTGGAACCAGGAAAACAGGTAGAGGCAGTCGGGAACATTGGATGATAATGAAGTTAAAGGAGTACTAAAGGAGGATAAGGAGATTGTGGAGAAACTGAATGAATTCTTTTAATCTGTCTTCATTGTAGAAAATACAGGGCAGATATCTGTGCTTGAACTGATGTATTTAGAAAGAAAGTCTGAGAACCTAAGGCAGGCAGTGGTCACAAGAAATGCCAAATGCAAGTGTAAACTAATACACAGTGGGCAAAACTATTTAATTTAAGCTGATCGGATCTGAGCTACTGTTGTCTGACCAAGATCTTGGGGTTGTGGTAGACAGCTTGATGAAAATGTTGATCTAGTGTGCAATTGCTCTGGAAAAGACAAACTCTGTGTTAGACATAATTAGGAAAGGACCACACTAAGAGTACTGCATACAGTTTTGTTCATCATACCTAAAAAGGGCATTGTAGAGTTGGAAACAGTGCTGAAAAGAGTAACTAAAATGATCAAGGGACCCTAAGTAAAGATTACAACATCTGGGATTATTCTGTTTTACAAAAAGGCAAGTATGGGGAGACATGATAGAGCTGTACAGAATTATGCATGGCATGCATAAAGCAAATAGGGAGACAGTTTGCTCTTTCTCTCATAATGCTACAAGCTGGACTCATCCCATGAAGTGGATTGTCGGGAGATCCAGAATAAATAAAAACCTTTCATCACATAGTACATAGTGAAACTATGGAATTAACATCCACAAAATGTAGTGATGGTCACAAATTGGATGGCTTCAAAAGTTGACTGGACAAATTCATGGTGGAGAAGGCTATCAATGGTTATTAGTCCTAATGGCTATATGTTACCTCCAGTATCAGAGGCAATATGACTGTATAGCATTTGCTGGGGAACTTGGGTGGGGTCTTTGCTCTCATGTCTTGCTTGTGGGATCCTGTGGAGAGCTATTTGGCTACTGTGTGAGCAGAATGCTGGACTAGAGAGATCTCTGGTCTGATCCAGAATGGTGGTTCTTATGTTTTAACTGAATTTCAAATCTCCATAGTCTGTATGATCTAGCATTATACACTACTGTTTATGGCTGCTGAGTATTCTGTCTTGTGCAATATCTTCAACTCTAGGCAAAGGTACAGATAGCATCTTAACAGTTGTAGGATGCCTTTTTCCTGGTTTCTGCAAGTATCTACTTTATGAAGAAGGGCTGAGCACATATGTTGCTTGGCGAGGATGCAGATTAAATCCCTGGCATTTCCTGTTAAAAGAACTGGGTAACACGTGATAGGGAAAACTTCTGCCTAGAAAGTCACTGATATTCAGAGTGGACAGTACTAAATTAGAAGCACCAGTGACTGACCTGGTATAAGGCAGCTTCCTCTTTTCCCATTTTTGAGCTATCAAGCCTTTAGTTTGCAAAGAATCAGTTACATGCATCCTGTATCTATAAAAAACATTCTAAATGATGTCCGAAATAGTAGTCATGGTAGCAGTCTCATGTCCTGGAGACCATAGTGGAAATAGCCTATTTCATGTTGAACACAGCAAACTCATGCATGAAATGTTGGTTCAGGCAGGCATGGCCTTTTTGGGATTGTCTCTGCCCTACTGTGCCTTGACCCCCGTATGCTTGTCTCATCTACCCTGGGTTAATCTTGTAATACTAGCAAGACCAGGCTGGTCATATTTCAGTCGGGGGCTCACATCAAGTGACTACTCACTATTACACCATTTTCTTTAAAGCAAGGGAGATGTGAGATTCTTACAAAGCCACAGAGTTAGGAATTAGGTCACATGAGTCTATGCAGTGCTTTTTTGTAAAAAAAAAAAAAAAAAAAAGTGCCGGAACTCACCTCTTGGGGTCACACTTTTACACTAAAAAAGATTTTCAATTCACCAACTTTTTTTGAAATAAAGAACTTATTTACCTTTTGCATGTAGCCAGTCACTCTACAAACACATAAACATAATGGTTGCCGCCGGCAGTAAGCACTCAGCATGTGACCACTCGACCGATCCCAAGCTGAGCAGCGTCCTGAGCTGAGCAGTGCTCTCACAAGCAGCACAGACACACACGCAGCCCACAGGCACTATGTTAATGCTTTTTGCTGCCAACCTGCTACGCCCGACAGGGCGATTCACAATCACATGGAAAAACCTGCCAAAAAAGGGTGCCGGAATGCCGTTCCGGTGCATTTTATGACAAAAAAAGCCCTGAGTCTATGTGTTCTTTCCTAGACAGAGCAGGTAGCCAATGTTTGCCCTTACAGAAATTAGGGTGAATTGCAGCAAAACCAGCAGTTAGGAGGCACCTGAGTTTTGGTGAGATAACTGAACCTATGGCAAGAGTTGCTAGAAAAATAAACGAATAAAAAGAATAATATTATTTTATTATGGTTACTGTTTATATACTGCCCAATTGCTGACATTCTCTGGATGGTTCATGTTTGATTTAAAATAGCATTATACTTAACACAGAGTCCACATAGATGTCAAACACAAGTGACGGTGTCACACTTAACTTACAAACGCTCTAAAGAATTGCAGACTATATTAGGGTGACTTGAAATGTTGCAGTTGCTACTTGGCCCTGTGATGGCGACTCTGTGCAGGGGGCTGAAACATTTGAAAGTCATTTGTCATGTGAATCATTCCAAATGTGGTTTTATCAGATTATGCTGCTCCACAAGGTGAGTTGCTTTCTAACGTTAGGGTTCCCACATGGCATCCCTGCTATTTTGAAGGGAAGTAGCATTACACTCCAGGAAGGATCTGTCTCTACATCAGCTTTGTCCAAGCTTGCCAACCTTCAAAATGTGTTGAACTGTAATTCCCATCATTGCTGGGCAGCATCCGCAACACATGTGGATGGTACCGTATTGGGTAAGGCTGAGGTAGATTATTTTCAAATGGCATCTAAACAGGGATGATGTTCCAGGAAAAAGAAGTTGCATATTAAAAATCTTGTCAAGCTGGATTGCCAAGATGTTTCCAGTAGCAGATCTTAGATGGAATCCAAAGAAAAGATGAGAGCAGGCTAGCAGTTATAAACAATAGATGTATGGACATATGGGATACCTGGCACTCAAGAGTTTGGCTTGAGTCTTAGGATTTTGGCGGGTGTACTGAAGCCTGTTTTATTCTGGATTTGTTTTATTGTACATAAGATGCCACGCTGATAAGGGCTTATCATTTTACATGTGTTCAGACTCAATGGAGGAGGCTGGGCTAGAGAATTTTTGATTCCACTATCTTCTTCTTCCATCAACATAACTTCACAGTCATAAAAACACCCCATATTAAACAAAACCTCTTCTGATTTTAGGGAACCAAAACTAGCTAACTAAACTAAACTAAACTAGATACTGCAATGAGTATCATGTGTGGTGTTTGTTTCTTTCTGTGGGCAGATACACTGCAAATGTTCAGCTTCTTGTAATTCTTAATGATTCTGTAAGGCAAGAGTTGGGTGCTTTGGAGAACTAGGTAGTAAAAAGCTGTATTTGAGCACAGAATTCCTGAACAAAAGGCATCAGAACAAAACAGATGTGGGGAGCTATGTCATTCATGTATCTTTCCTGTTCATACATAAAGTGATTTTTTGTAACATAAGGATGAGTGAATAAGGAGATCCAAGCTCTGTCCTACTTAGAAGCATAGAAACAGCGAGTCAGAAGGGACCTCCTGGGCCATCTAGTCTGATCCCCAGCTCCAGCCGGCTCTGCTCACGACATACCCACCATGTGCATGTCCAGCCTATCTTGAACTCCTGTACCAATGGGGCCTCAACGACCTCCCATGGAAGCCCATTCCACACCCTCGGGGTCCTAACTGTCAGGAAGTACTTTCTGGCATCCAAATGGAACCTTGGCTCCCTGAGCTTTGCTCTGTTGGAGCACATCCTGCCTTCCTCTGCAGGGGAGGATAGATCTTTACCCATCTCCATGTGACGTCTCCTCACATACCTGTATGTTGTCAACATATCCCCTCTGAGTCTCCTCTTATCCAGGCTGAAGAGACCCAGTTCCCTCAGTCTCACCTCATACAGCATCCCCTGCAAACCGGCCACCAACCTTGTGGCCTTACGCTGCACTGACTCTAACCTGGCTGTATCCTTTCTGTAATGAGGGGCCCAAAACTGAGCACAACACTCCAGTTGCAGGTGCACCAGAGTTGCATAGAGTGGTAGTAATACCTCTCTTGATCTAGAAGCCCTCTTGAGCACTGCATCACACTGCTGACTCATGTTTAGCCTGCAGTCAACCAGCACCTCAAGGTCTCTTTCACAAGTACTGCTCTCCAGCCACTTGTCACCTAACCTGTACCTATGACACCTATCCCTATGCCCCAAGTGCAAGACCTTGCACTTACCCACATTGAACGCCATCCTGTTGTCTCCTGCCCACTTCCATAGTCTGTCCAGATCCTTTTGGACTTACCTCCCCACAGCCCATTGTCCAGGATTAGTTACTTGCTGCCCATTTCCAGCTAATGGAGTGAGACAGGGTGAGGCAAAAGTGCCCAAAGCACAGGTAGGGTGGGAGAGGACTGAGCTCCTCCCATTTGCTAGCCACTGTTGACATTGGACATGCTCCCACTCCTGCTTTATAAATGAACATGGAAAACATGTGAATCAACATGACTGCTCTTATTGCATCTACTGTGGACAGTATACTTAGTTGGACAGTATATTTGGATAAGAAGTTTGCAGAGAATAAGGTTTGTATGAGACAGAGCTTAAATTTTGTCATGAAAGATGGCTAGAACACTTTGTATTCCAGCAGACAGCAAAAGAACATGAGCCTTGTCAAATTCATTAGGTCACTGGTTGCTAGTACCTCTGACATAGGGAGGATAGAAGTTGAAGGGAAGGGTGTTTTCACAGAAAAGTTGTCAGACAAAGAGTTTAAGATTAGAGTGAAAACTCTGAGTGTGGAGTGAATTCTCCATGCTTTATTTACTGTCTCTCTCTGTCTCTTTCTCTGTCTCTCCCTGTCTCTTTCTCTGTCTCTTTGCCTTGGGGTCTTGGGTTTCCCCTGCTGAAACAGGTGTCAGAAGAGGATTCTCCAGAGGATCTATCATCTGAGCACGGAGCTGCCTTAATCATGGAATCTTTTACACAGAAAAGCCTTGTTTCTTCTCCTGAGGTTATCATCACTCTTTCAATTTCTCTCTCTTTTCTGTATCTGCTGTCCTTTTTGTTTCCTTTTATAGTTGTTAGCAATATTGGGGCTGCAATCCTGTAGGCACAATAGTGCTGTCAATGACAAAATAATCAGCCAGATTTAGCCTTTCAAGGTCAGTAAATTAGGGATTTGTTTTGACATTATCATAACTGTGTGAAAGGCAGACAAGGATTGCCACAGACTATTGTCCTGGCTATGGTATATTTAGACTCTTCCTTTGACTTTGCATATAAATTGTTTTTGAAAGTGGACCTGAACCTGGTATCCAGACTTGAAAAGGATAACTGCATTAAAAAAAAAAAACTAAAGCAGAAAGTTAGGTTGATACTGTTTTCAGTTTACTTAATGTATTTATTTAATGTATTTCCTGCCTTTTCACCAAAAACTACTGTTTAAGGCAAGTAAAGGAGGCTGAGTTCCATGATAAGCTGTGTGCATCAAAGGATTCCCCCCTCCACCCCACAGCTGCTTATTTTTCCAAATGATCCTATTGCTCAGCCACAAAGATCTTGGTGATCTAAGAGGATATATAATTCAGTTTGGTGGGCCAGCAAGCAAGATAAATAGGTTCCTATGAAGCGCTTGTAGTGTAGGCTTGGGGAACCTACAGCCTGCCTGCTGAATACAGTTTATAGAGATTCCCCATCCATCCCACCAAGGTTCTACCTGAGCGGTGCCCCTTTCCACTGCCCCAGCACCGAGGAAAGGGGCACATTACTAATCCATAGCATATGGAAGGCCAGTCATTTTCTTAGCACTGGAACTGAGAAAAAGGGCTCTACTCAACCTCACAGTGATGAGGCAGGGAAAATGCTCACCCTTAGCTGATTTGCATGCATCAAATGAGGAGATAGGAGTAGAAATTCTCTCCGTGTGTGTATGGTGTGTGTGTGAATGTGGGAGTGAAATATGGTGAGGGCAGAGTAAGATAAGAGTGGCTCCACCACTGGGCAGTGACTCTGCCTGTCCCTGCTAGTATGTAGCCCCTAATGCCCTATCCTGGGACCTTTTCAGCCCTGTGGCTGGGAATGGATCCCAACCTCTGCTGTAGTGCCTTCCACTTTAAAAGTTCCTAAGTACTTTCCTTGAAATAGAACCACCATTGGTAATTGCATATAAGAGCAAATGATACAGACTGTTCTTTACTCAGAGCTGCACTGCATTAAGAGGATTTGTGTAAGGAATGATTTCATGCTTAGCCAACTGTAGAGGAAGAGATATTTGGATAAAAGATGTTTGGGAATAAAAAAAAAAAACCCCAAGGCCCTCATTATGTTGGAGACATCCATTTTGGCAATTTCAAGTTTTCAGATGCTCAAATGCAGTGGTTATGTATCTGGAAGTGCAAAATCAAGTAAAATTTGAGACATCTGGTGGCAGAGTTAGTGAACAGCCCTCCTACCAGACTTCAAAGCAGTTTCACTTTGAAATCTTCCACTGAAACAAGAAAACAGCTTTTTCTTTCATATTTTAAGCAGATACTGCCTCAAGTTTACTTTTGTAGCTTGGGTAAATTATGAAAAGACACAATGAAACCAAATAATAGATCCCAATATAATTGAAGTGGCAATTATGGGTAACTATTATTAACCAAATAATTATTAAGTAATTATTAACCAAATAATTAATGTTTAGATCCAATTATAATGGATGGCATAGAAAAAAATATGTAAATAAATGTAGTGACACCATCCAAATGTTTTGCTCTATAGCTCCCATCATTGATGACAAGCATGGTGTCTGGAAATGATGGGAGTTGTAGTCCAAAACAGGACACCAGTTTGCGGAAAGTTGATATAGAAAATAGCTAGAACACCCTGTTGATCAATATGCTTTCAAAATTACAGTGGCTTGAGCCAATTTTAGATTGGCAGATATTTGACTAGTAACTCATATATTGAAATGTTCTGACATAGTCTCACGCAGTAGTTGCTTTCACAGGGAACAAACCCATTCAAACATCAAGCCACCTCACTGTGTACTGTGAAAACACTGCAAATCTTGCCTTGGAATGGAGATCAAACACAAAATTCATGCCAGTTCTGGATGTGCTTTCTGGCATAACTGAAGACCTAAAATAAGAGAACAGCCATTTAACTGCATTGGAGTGGTGCAAGGCCAAGTTACAGAGCAGTTCATTGTGTTTTAGCTAGCAGTGAAAGACAAATCAGTGTGAGCAACAACTGTGTTATGAGGGACATGACTCTTGAAAGAGCAGGTTCTCTGCAAGCTTCAGGGCATGGCAACTGAGGCATCTGCTGAACTCCGCAGAAGTTGGTTTCTAAAAGGAGGAACCTGAAATTGTGGAGGGTTTGTGGATGAACTTGGATGAGCTCCTTTTGCTGAAGCACACCTTAATCTGCTGAAACAATAGATTCACTACTGGCTATTATTTTGGCTTCTAGTTAGACATGTAGTGGTCATGCCCCGCACATTATCTCTAAATCGGGAGCCTTTATATCCAAAACTGAAGATTCTATTTCAGTGGGACCTTTGTCCAACTGTATCTGTTAATCTGTATCTAATCTAGGAACACAGGATGCAGACGCAAATAAGCTGTTTTGTCAGCTTCTTACAAAAAGGGGACTTAGCTTCCAGAAGAGATTAATAGTTTGAATTCCTGTTATAGATACTATAGTTAGTTACAAGTGATTTAGGACATTCAATAAAGTGTACAACTGCTTTCACAAAAAGAGCACTGGCTAGTTCATCTGTTGCAAAAGTGGTGTTTCTTGTGCAAATGAAGCAGAACATTAAATAGATAGCTGTTTGTCTGCATAAAGAAACCCAACAGGTCATGTGTTGGGTGCAGAGTTTTTTTTTTTTTTTTTTTTTTTTTGCTCTTTTTTTTCTTCAAAGAAGGGACATGGAGCTATGCCTTTACTAGTGCAGTCTTTCGCCCTGATGGTTGGGGGAAGAGACTGATTTCAAGTAGCATTTTTAAAGGAATTTGATATTGGGTCATTCTTGTACAAAATGTCCCGACTGTACCTTTCTATTCATGTGCTGTTCAGAACTTAGCTCTCCAACAGATTTTGCAGGTCTCAGGATGTTGCAATGCATTTCTGAGAGGGTAATCCACACACATCTTGAAATACAGATTTAAATACGTTGTTAAATATTTTGTGATACCTTTTTATATTTACAAATCAATGCAGAAACAATGCAGAATCATGGGAGGGAGGCATGCAGGCATGCAGAAACAAGAAAAATCTTAACCGTACCCCCCCCCCATCCCTAATCTGGGGCAGGTTTGATCTGAAGCTGTAGCTGACATGTTCAATTTGTTTAGCTGTAAATCAATTTACACACTTATACTCACAGTTGTGCAACTGAAGCATTTTTGAAGAGCAACTGTATTCGAGGCTATGCATATATAATGTTTGTCATCAGATTCACTGTATGCTCCCTGGTTGGTTAGGGATCATGTTTGCAGTTCAGGAAGCATTTCCTTCATTCTAAATCCCCCCGAATGACATGATCACATACAAACTTTTGTTAGGTAATCATATTCACCATGTGATCCCTGATTAGCTGGAATGGCTCTCAAGAAGAGAAAGATGCTCTAAAAGGAAAATGGCCCTAAGGTAGCAATTGATAAGGGGAAAAGTAAACATAAATGCCCTTGAAAAATGGGTGTACAAGGAACATTTAAGACATTTTGTTTTTGATCTTCCTGAAAGCACTATTTTGACTTCCAAACTGAAATGGGTGGAAACTTAGCACAGCCCTAGTTCTGCATAGGATCAGTAATGATAGACATGAAAGGAAATGGTATAGAATTCTTCATTTATGTTTGTCTTAAATATATTTTGAAATGGGAAGAGGAAAAACAGAGCTTCCTGTAAATGCTTTGTTGTTGGAATTCAATGCTTTTGAAGTGAGTTTTCCATTCAAGCATACAACTTATATATGGTTGGTGATTTATTCTTGTGTATACATTCTGAGCTACACCACTGTTACCCCATAATTGCCAGTGATTATTGAAGTGTTTTGTAATGTAATTCAAATCCCAGGCTGTTCCACAGCCTCATGGCATAGCACAACTTTCGCAGAAATCACAAAGCCTTTGTGAAGCTACTTGAAGAAAAAAATCTCTTGCAATGCACTCTTTTTACCCATTAACAAATCACTAGAAATATTTCCAAGCACAAACAGGAGGTTTAACTAGCCAACGAAGGCCTATTGTATATCTAGTGTTCATGGTATGAAACCAGTGTGTAATGGCAGTGACTTAAACTAACTCTTTCTCGCCCTTCCACTATGATTCCCCCTAATATGCACACTGACTTCATGCCTTCCTTTGCAGAGATGACTAAACTGAAGCACTACTGGGAATACATAATGGGTGATGAGTTGGATAGCATTCATTGTGTGAAATCACTACCATCACTACAAATTAATACACAGTGCCCTCAGTATTGAAGCAGTTTGGTACTGCTGTGCCATGTGGTGCACTAAATAAAAGGCTTTGGTTTTGTTGCCTCCTACACTTTGCTGTACTGCCTTTAAACCAGTTTGCATACCAGTTTCCACTTTCTTAACCTCTGTTTTTCTGAATGGAACTTGGGAACTTGGCTTGGATGTATTACTGCTGAGTCTTGGAACAGAAATGGGTGCTTCTACTTAGGTTTCCCTTAAATTTAAAAAAGTACCTCATCATTCTGAAAATCACAGGACCCATAAACCCACTGGGTACTATTGGGCCTTCAATTTGTAACTTGTTTTTAACTCATAAAGTTATAGTGATTTTCCTAAGCTAATGAATCCTTAGTGAAGTGATGCATACAGTTGCATTGAGATACAATAAAACTAAGCAAACCACTGCAGACAGCAAGGACTGGATCCAGACTTTGTAATATTTAGAATATATCCAATGAAACTAGTTGGATTGGAATAAATCTGCTGTAAGAATGACTGTGTCTGGATCCAACATGATGGAAGAAAGTCTGATATTTTGG